CAAACTGACAAATCGCAAATAAAAGATGATGCGAGTTATAGTTGGTTTACAGTAATTAAGATGATGATCTTACTGTGGTAGTAGGGTGGTCGGAAAGTTCTGTCTGCCACTCCCCATCGTGGAGGAAAAATGACAAAATCAGCGATGGCCACGCCTGGCTTAGTGGATTGACAGGTCAGCACAGTGAAAATGGAGGGATCCTAAAACACAATATTCATTTTAATCTAATGTTATTTATCAATCAATCATCAATCAAAATCAGATAAAACACGATATTGATTATTAATCTGATAGTACCACGTGATCTACAGTCATTTTGTTGAAGGTGACAAAGCTGTTGTCAGAAAATAGCTCTTCAGAGCTAATGTTTAACCCGACTTTTAATAAATATTTTTTATCTAAAGTTACGGAGGGTAGCTATTTGTATAGTGTGTAACAGTACACATAATTAAGTATAGTAATTAATTATTAATTAGTGTACATACCATGTGATCTACTGACACTGTGTTGACTGTGACAAAGTTACTGAGGGCGTATTTGTAGGGTGTATAATTCCCATGCCAGGCCACCACATCAAAAGGGGAATGAGTCTGTAAATCATAAAACAGTTAGTAATAAAACAGCTCATATAACATGATATCTATAATTCAAGTATCTAGCATATATTTATACAAACATTGCTCATGTATGCTCATGTATACAATATACATCTGGCCAAGCTACTGACCAACTAAACAATAATCTCTTGATGCTGACAGTCATTTACATTGAGTTGAGTACAGGTAATTCTGTTGAGCTAAGTACAGGTGACCTTGGTATTTACCTGTTGAGCTAAGTACAGTGACCTTGGTTTTTACCTGTAGAGTTGAGTATAGGTGACCTTGGTATTTGCTGCTGAGTACCTGATATTTACCTGTTGAGCTGAGTACAGGTGACCTTGGTATTTGCTGCTGAGTACCTGATATTTACCTGTTGAGCTGAGAACAGGTGACCTTGGTATTAACCTGTTGAGATGAGATGATTACAGGTAATCCTGATATTTTACCTGTTGAGCTGAGAACAGGTGACCTTGGTATTTGCTGATGACTGTGAATTCCTTGACTTCCTTATCTTCGTAGCAGGCAACAGGTGTCTGGAAATCCCGAGGGTTAGCGAGTCCATTAGCTCCTACAAAAAGATAGAAGCATGGAGTCCATTAGCTCCTATAAACAGATAGAAGTATGGAGTCCATTAGCTCCTATAAACAGATAGAAGCAGGGAGTCCATTAGCTCCTATAAACAGATAGAAGCATGGAGACCATAAGCTCCTATAAACAGATAGAAGCATGGAGTCCATAAGCTCCTATAAACAGATAGAAGCATGGAGTCCATTAGCTCCTATAAACAGATAGAAGCATGGAGTCCATTAGCTCCTATAAACAGATAGAAGCATGGAGACCATTAGCTCCTATAAACAGATAGAAGCATGGAGTCCATCAGCTCCTATAACACAGATAGAAGCATGGAGTCCATTAGCTCCTATAAACAGATAGAAGCAAGGAGTCCATTAGCTCCTATAAACAGATAGAAGCAAGGAGTCCATTAGCTCCTATAAACAGATAGAAGCATGGAGACCATTAGCTCCTATAAACAGATAGAAGCATGGAGTCAATCAGCTCCTATAACACAGATAGAAGCATGGAGTCCATTAGCTCCTATAAACAGATAGAAGCAAGGAGTCCATTAGCTCCTATAAACAGATAGAAGCATGGAGTCCATTAGCTCCTATAAACAGATATAAGCAGGGAGTCCATTAGCTCCTATAAACAGATAGAAGCAAGGAGTCCATTAGCTCCTATAAACAGATAGAAGCATGGAGTCCATTAGCTCCTATAAACAGATAGAAGCATGGAGTCTGTTAGCTCCTATAACACAGATAGAAGTATGCAGTCCATTAGCTTCCTATAAACAGACAGAAACATGTCAACAAAAGGCCCACAGACCAAAACTCTCACCTGAGTCATTTTGGCCCTGCTGTTCTTCATCAGCAGATCTTTTCTCAATATATTCCTATGTAAAACTTAGATCTCCTACAGTGGCTCCACTCTACCCTCCAAGGGCCATAATTTAAACAACTTTGAATATACCTTACCTGAGGATGCTTTCACATTAATATGACTAATCAGAACTTCACTGTTCTTGCAAAGATTTTTATGTACATTAATTCCCTGTATATTCTTCTGTAAATCTTTGATTGCATATTGTGGCCACACCCTACCTTTGAGGTTATGATTTGAACAAACTTGAATTTGCTATACCTGAGGATGCTTCTGATCTGTATTAATTTGACTATCAGAGCTCTACTGGTTTTGTTGAGATTTTTATGTATACATTAATTCCCATATATTCCTATGTAAAACTTTGATTGACAATTGAGCTCAGTCCTACCCTTGGGGTCATGATTTAAACAAACTTGCTTGATTCTACACAATGTAATGAAGCTTTCAATTGTTTCATCTTTTCTGGCCTAGTGGTTGTTGAGAAGATGCTATAAAATTTTCACTAATACTTAATTATTCCCCTTCAAAAGAAAGCATGGCTTTTCATTTGAACAATCTTGAATCCCCTTTACCCATGGATGCTTTGTGGCAAGTTTGATTGAAACTGGTCAAGTGGCTCTTGAGAAGAAGTCAAAAATGTGAAAAGTTTACCACGACGCCAACGACAACCGACAAATTTTGATCAGTTCAGGTGAGCTAAATATGATTACATCAGCTAAATTAAGACTGGTTTGTTTAATGCTGCCCAGTAGAAGATGATAATAACATGTAAGGAACAATCTCAAGCCAAAATAATCTGTAGGAGTTGACATTTCTCAGGGGTATTAGAACAGGTTAGATAAATTATATACAATAATGCTGAGGTTTCATTTTGTTTGCAGTAATAGTAGTCAGTGTATAGACACTTCTAGATGTGTGTCAATTTTTGTTAATAAGTCTTGTTTATGTCTATAGGGTACACATCTGGGAAGGACCCATCACAGTTTACTGCCGGACTTATTACTTACCTATGGGCCCCAGGTTAGGGAGAGTAAAGTGACCATCCAAAACCTCCAAAATGTACCCCCTTGTGGGTCCCTCAACATCCACTTTGAAACGCATGCCTTGCTGTAAAGGAAACATTTCTTCCACAAGGTCAAAACATGTTCTGATTTCATTACACTTTATTTGTTCAGGTTATCAGTATTGAAATAGCTTAACTATCAAATTACATAAAGTGAATAAAAAAGAATTTTGTGTTTTTCCAATTATAAAAATTTCAAATAATAAACATTTGAAAACAAATGTGTCAGGGTTGGGCAGATCTCATTGAATTGGGATCTGGATCTGCTTTCACTTTCTCAAACTCTTTATTGAGTAGCAGGAAGTTGTTATTCATTAAATCTGGGTCATGTACCTGTATGACACATATTTCATTGGGATCTACTTTCATTTTCCCAAACTCTGTGGTAATTAGTAGAGGACCTTGTTGTGGCACTGAAAATGAAAGTAAGCTGTGCAAGTTAAGACAACAAAATGGAGAACATCTTATGTTCATACTGTGTGTGTATGGGGGGAGGTGGGGTCTTAGAAATTTGTAATAAATTGTATTTTGAACATTTGGAAAATTATGTTACATGTCCCCCTTCCCCTTTCTTTGTATGTACTCTTACGTGTAAGTGTGAAGGTTACATGCCCCCTTCCCCTATCTTTGTATGAACTCTTACATGTAAGTGTGAAGGTTACATGCCCCCTTCCCCTATCTTTGTATGAACTCTTACATGTAAGTGTGAAGGTTACATGCCCCCTTCCCCTATCTTTGTACAAACTCTTACATGTAAATATGAAGGTTACATGCCCCCTTCCCCTATCTTTATAGGTACTCTTACGTGTAAGTATGAAGGTCACATGCCCCCTTCCCCTATCTTTTACGTACTCTTACATGTAAATATGAAGGTTACATGCCCCCTTCCCCTATCTTTTACGTACTCTTACATGTAAATATGAAGGTTACATGCCCCCTTCCCCTATCTTTTACGTACTCTTACATGTAAATATGAAGGTTACATGCCCCCTTCCCCTATCTTTTACGTACTCTTACATGTAAATATGAAGGTTACATGCCCCCTTCCCCTATCTTTTATGTACTCTTACATGTAAATATGAAGGTTACATGCCCCCTTCCCCTATCTTTGTATGTACTCTTACATGTAAATATGAAGGTTACTCACCTATAAGAAAGTCCCCATCTGAATTGTACAGGCAACTACAAATAAATTGATCATTAAGATTAAGTTGTGTATACATTTACAGTAAAAAATGGTTGTAAATAATTGGCTTAAAAGAAAACTCTTTGAATCCCATCAAAGGTTTTGCAATATGTTCTGCATACAGATATAAAGGATTCAGTCATTTGAAGCCAAGGGACCTCTTTATTACGGAGTTATACTGTACATACCTGTAACCTTCATACCTGAAATTCTTACTCATTCTGTCTGACACGGAGGTATTACAGGTGAAAAACAGATTACACACCTGGCTGACACTGAGGTATTACAGGTGAAAAACAGATTACACACCTGTCTGTCACGGAGGTATTACAGGTGAAAAACAGATTACACACCTGTCTGACACGGAGGTATTACAGGTGAAAAACAGATTACACACCTGTCTGACACGGAGGTATTACAGGTGAAAAACAGATTACACACCTGTCTGACACGGAGGTATTACAGGTGAAAAACAGATTACACACCTGACTGACACGGAGGTATTACAGGTGAAAAACAGATTACACACCTGTCTGTCACGGAGGTATTACAGGTGAAAAACAGATTACACACCTGTCTGACACTGAGGTATTACAGGTGAAAAACAGAATACACACCTGTATGACACTGAGGTATTACAGGTGAAAAACAGATTACACACCTGTATGACACGGAGGTATTACAGGTGAAAAACAGATTACACACCTGTCTGACACAGAGGTATTACAGGTGAAAAACAGAATACACACCTGTCTGACACAGAGGTATTACAGGTGAAAAACAGATTACACACCTGTCTGACACTGAGGTATTACAGGTGAAAAACAGATTACACACCTGTCTGACACAGAGGTATTACAGGTGAAAAACAGAATACACACCTGTCTGACACAGAGGTATTACAGGTGAAAAACAGAATACACACCTGTCTGACACGGAGGTATTACAGGTGAAAAACAGATTACACACCTGTCTGACACTGAGGTATTACAGGTGAAAAACAGATTACACACCTGTCTGATACTGAGGTATTACAGGTGAAAAACAGATTACACACCTGTATGACACGGAGGTATTACAGGTGAAAAACAGATTACACACCTGTCTGACACGGAGGTATTACAGGTGAAAAACAGAATACACACCTGTATGACACTGAGGTATTACAGGTGAAAAACCGATTACACACCTGTCTGACACTGAGGTATTACAGGTGAAAAACAGATTACACACCTGTCTGACACGGAGGTATTACAGGTGAAAAACAGATTACACACCTGTCTGATACTGAGGTATTACAGGTGAAAAACAGATTACACACCTGTATGACACGGAGGTATTACAGGTGAAAAACAGATTACACACCTGTCTGACACGGAGGTATTACAGGTGAAAATCAGATTACACACCTGTCTGACACAGAGGTATTACAGGTGAAAAACAGATTACACACCTGTCTGACACAGAGGTATTACAGGTGAAAAACAGATTACATACCTGTATGACACGGAGGTATTACAGGTGAAAAACAGATTACACACCTGTCTGACACAGAGGTATTACAGGTGAAAAACAGATTACACACCTGTATGACACGGAGGTATTACAGGTGAAAAACAGATTACACACCTGTCTGACACGGAGGTATTACAGGTGAAAAACAGATTACACACCTGTCTGACACGGAGGTATTACAGGTGAAAAACAGATTACACACCTGTCTGACACAGAGGTATTACAGGTGAAAAACAGATTACACACCTGTATGACATGGAGGTATTACAGGTGAAAAACAGATTACACACCTGTATGACACGGAGGTATTACAGGTGAAAAACAGATTACTCACCTGTCTGACACTGAGGTATTACAGGTGAAAAACAGATTACACACCTGTCTGACACTGAGGTATTACAGGTGAAAAACAGATTACACACCTGTCTGACACAGAGGTATTACAGGTGAAAAACAGATTACATACCTCACTGATGTATTACAAGTGTTAAAAAAATAACATTCCTGTCTGATTTTGAGGTAATACAGGTGTAAACATAGACTACATACCTGTCTGACATTGAGGTATTACAGGTGAAAGACAGATTATCTACCTTACTGACATTGAGGTATTACAGCTGCATACAAACCTGTCTGACATTGAGGTATTACAGGTGTATACATACCAGTCTGACATTGAAGTATTACAGGTGTATACATACCTGTCTGACATTGAGGTATTACAGGTGAATATATATACAGATACACCGTGTCTTGTTCTTGGCTCCCCAGCACCACAGATGGTTGTCAATCCCTAATAAATAAATAAATCATAATTTACATTGATACATCAAGATAAACAGTATGAATCACTTTCATGGGCATTTGAAATTATTTCTGTGTTAACTAAATTTTGGTTTAAAGATATACAAAGATTTAAAATGATTTAACATATACAAACTTGGACAAAGTCCAATTTCTTCTTTGGTAAGTCAAATGGATGCCATCTCATCTGTATGAAAAGAATAACGTGAATCAATAAGTTTGATGATTGGTTGCAAAATTTTGTATAAAACAAAAGATAAGAAAAAATTGGAAAATAAAATAAAAATCCTATATTTTAATACGTTAGTTTGAACATTACATTATGACATTACAATCAACAATCGTGGGGGAAACAAAACTAGATCTAGAGCTGGGCTGACTTTGACAAGTGACAGATGGACTCTTGATCACATCTGAATTCAGTCTCAAAGTGCAGGAAATAACAACATTGAAATTTGTTAAGAAATTTTCTGGGGGTGAGGGTGGATGGGGTATTATATTGATTGGAGTATTTTCTAGGGGTGGGTGGGTTATTTTATTGATTGGAGTATTTTCTAGGGGTGGGTGGTGTATTTTATTGATTGGAGTATTGGACACTAACCTGATTTGGATTTGGGTCAATTTCATCCCAGTTGTGTGTGATCAATCCTCGCTCCATCTTCTTGAAAGGTTGATGTAAAACAGAGGGTCGGATTCTGTACAACCAGCTGTCAATCACAAACAAAACAAACTGAAAGAACTACGCACGGTAACTCCCAATTCCCGCCTACATTTTACAACCATTTAATTCAATATTGATGACAATTTGGCCATAAAATCTTTGTTTAATACAAAGAACAGTTCAATGGTAATTGATTAATTATTTTAATTCCAGTGCTAAATAGTAAAATATCCCTAATTCCAGCTCTTGAAATAAGGGGGGTAGACGATATTTTCCACTGAAATCGGGCTATAAAGCATCACCATATTCTGAAATAGTCTTGGATATGAATAAATGTTTCTTAAATCTTTTCTTATGTTCTATGCATATAATATTAAGCATATATATTAGTACAATGTAATGTTTCAGTTGTAAAGCACTTGGAAATTGCTGAAAAAATAAGCATTTTTGTCGTTTTTTGTATATAAACATATGTTCCCCCCCCCCCCCCCCCCCCCCCCCCCCCCCCCGTGAAACACAAAAAGCTTTCAAATTGGTATGAATTTGTGAAATGACAGTCCATATTACCCGTAAAAAGGAATTTTTGTTTCACAGGGGGGAAAGATGTTTTAAAAATATTTTCCGTTTTCTGTTGATTTCTATAGTGAAAAACACGAGTTTTACCAAAATTTTAGAGTTATCTCTCGTTGTTTTCCCAAAGAAGTAATGTTTTATGAAAATCCATATAAATATCAATATAAATATTAAAAATCATTCGAATATATTAACTTTTGAAAATTGACTTGGAGGTAGGCGGGAGAACAATACTATCGTTCGCAGTTCTTACTTACAAAGATGACAGGATTCTCTCTCAATATCAGATATATACTCAAAGTTTGATTGAGATCTAATGTTTAAGGGAAGTTATTCTGATATATTAAGAATCATCTTGACTTTTTCTGTGTTTTAATTGTGACCTTGACCCTGGTAAGGGACAGTGTCACCCCCCCCCCCCAGCTCTGGAATTAGTCAAGACACAATGTGTTATAAAGATACACATACATTGTTACAATACAAAACTGCAAAGCTTCATGAATTGTAGAATTTCTATAGACATTTTACTTAGGAACATTCATTCTCTTTTCTTGTATGTCCCTACTGAGTTAAGCTTGTTAAGATGTGAAATAACAATTAATTTACCTTCTTTTGTTGGTTTCCCTTGGAGCCGTGAAGGCACTCCCTGACAATTGCTCTGCATAAAGTCCGTACGGACATTTCTGGGGATTGTTCTAAATTACAAAATTTCAACACAATTTCAGTTTACAGCACTCTTCATTTTTGTTTTTAAATTTCAATTAAAATATACAATAATACCTGTCTAATCCGACATGCACTGGGAGATGAATTTTGACATGCACTGGGAGATGAATTTTGTGTTGGAATATGTCGGGTGTCGGATTGCACAGTGTAAAGAAACATAGGAAATAGTAAAATGGGAGCAAAATTTAACTTCAGAATTCAGAGAGTGACGGATTGCACAGGTGACAGATTAGACAGTTTTAATATACTGTAAAACAGTTCAACTTTGGTATTTGGGAACTTGACATATTCTTGTTTACTCCATGGGGAGCATAGGGCTGCAGCATTTTGGAACATTGTCAACTTAATGTTTTTTCACCTGAATATCTCAAATCCTCAGATATATCAAAGATTTTTCTTGGCCCCATCAACTTTGTGATAACAATGTTTGACTGAGAGAGAGACTGTGCATGTGTACTGAAACACACATTCTGTCGACCTGGTCTACACAGTGTACACACACAAACAAAATACTGACCTGTCCTACAGGTAGTGACCCTGGACACCTGGGGTCCTCACTAGAAAACTCATTTCCAAATCCACTCATATACACAAGCTGAAAATTGAAATAATATATTTTATGGTAAAGAAGCACCATAGGAAAGGCTAACTTGAATTGAAAATATTTCGACCTTTCAAAATGTTCTTCTTTATTACAATTAGATATCTATCAAGCAATCTTTTTGGAAATTTATTACATCTTTGAAACTCATAAACTTTGAAACTTTATAAGGGCATGTGTAATGGTTTGGGCTGTGGATATCCGCCTGGGTAGCTCAATTGGTAGAGCACCTGACTAGTGATGCAGGGGTCCCAGGTTCAATTCCCGGTCCAGCCATACATTTTCTCCTTTCCTGTTACAGATTTGGTGCCATTGACCACCCCTGGACTTGCAGGTGAAAGTCCTGCCAAGGTCTAATTAGAACTTGGGTTGTGTCTTTGAGAGTGAAGACAATTTAAGGAGGGAGGAATATAATGGTTTGGGCCGTGGATATCGGCCTGGGTAAGCTCAGTAGGTAGAGCACCTGACTAGTGATGCAGAGGTCCCGGGTTCGATTTCCGGTCCAGCCATACATTTTCTCCTTTCCTGTTACACATGTAATGTATTAAAAAGCAATTTCTAAAGATGCTTCAGGTGACAAACTTAGGACTTTCATCTGCAAGTCCATGCTGGGATGAAAGCTAAAAAAAAACCTTATAAAAACAATATTCAGTCTAAGAAAAAGCTTATACATTTTAATAGAAATGTAATTATTATGTGAATGTTTTGTTTACATTAACCAAGCACAATAAATCCTGCATCAAATGAGATTTCTGGTGTTGTGAGAGCGAGAATTAAAGAGAAATGGCGGTTTCCGGTAAACAATTCAAAATACGGGAGAAATTTTCATTTCCTTGTGAAATTTGGTGTACCGCCGTGATCCCATAAATGGGGTAAAAAAAAAATGTGATATTTTGTGCACAGCCGGTACAATTTATCACATGTATGTTTGGACTTAAGTGTCCATCATGTCAAGAACAAATAAATAAAAATAAAAACACTGCAGTTGTTTAATTTATAATCTAAATTGTAAAATCAGATGTTAAGCTAGAATGGTACATAATTTAATAAAAATTCAATGAATTTTTGCTGAAGGTTGATGCATAAAATTATGTGTAAAAGAAACTGATGTGGCATGTAAAAAAAAAATTACACTGACACACCCCTCCGCTAACCAATCGTATTCAAGAAAAATGGCACACCCCCTGGGAGCTTCTTCATTTGCAAAAATTACTGACAATGTATGCGTACTGTAGCTCTTCTTTTGAATCTAAACTCAAACTCCAAAAATCATGATTGTAATGACTATGTAATTGTGTACAATGATTGCGTACTGTCGTTTTTAAAAAGTATTATCATGCCAGTGTCGCGATTACAACGTGTCAAGGTCGTTCTGGTAAATATAAGAATTAGCGGCAAAAACAAACATGATTTTTTACACAAACAAATACCGCGGATAATGCAAAATTTCTGTATCAAGGTGATAAGTCTTCCCAATAGTATGCTTCATTTAAACATGTTTAAATATCACCCAGAATGTCAGTGTGTACCTTATCCATGTTGTTATTAATCCGTGTAGTAGAAACGCTTAAAAATCGTAAACATTTTAAAGATCACGATTGTTGTGAATTTTTTTTTTACAAAGATATAAAAAAAAGAACATTGACGAAACTCCCATTGTTGCTTTTAAAATGTATAAGTACACCTCAGAAAGATTTTATATTAAAAAATTGTGAATTTTAATATGAATTCATACTTTGTAGTTTTCGATTACAACTAGACTAAAACCCCGAGACAACCGAAGAGAATAACCTTGACCTTCACTCCCACTTCGTCCAAAAAAGGAGGTCATAGTGGGAATTTGTTTTGAATTTTAACACACATACCCGTTACTGGATTATGACCATGAGCAGGAAAGTTTTACTCCAGCAGATGGAAACGTAACAGGTAAGGAACCGTGCACACTCTTTCTTTCTTCAAAAGCGCTGAAATTACCTGCAGAATCAAAGAATAAATAGGCCCAATGAGCATGCACGTTTGTTTGCCTGAGGCCATTAGCAAGTGAAACGCACGTCCGTGTGTCCGTATGTGATTTCAGTAAAGCTGTGGCGATGTCGCCCTCAACCAAAGGTAGAATGTCTAAATCTGGGGCTTTAAATCACTCTTGTTCTTCGATAGACCTTGTAATAAGAGAAAACCTATATCCTGGTGATGACAGATGTGTCTTTCTGTTTGTAGAGATGAAGGTGGTGTGTATTGTGGACAGCTGGGGCCGTGCGGTACCACCCGGTGGTGATCCCAAGGTAGCCACCACAAGCTCAGGGACTCTACAGGAATCTCGACAACTCGCTCTGTGTGTCATCCAGAAAGTGTGTAAAAGGTGGGAAAGAATTATCGTACGTTACCCAAATAAATAGATTTAAGTCATGGAACTATTGTACCTTACCCGAGTAAAACTGATTGAAGCTAATTTGCTACTTCCTATTAATAGTTGCTATAAGGTGGGGAAAAAATTCTTGACTTTTATGCAATGTTCATTGATCTGTCAGACTTTGTTTGCCGTAGGGATTTTCCTTATTATAAACAAAGGTTCATGTCTGAGATGACCTTGGTGAGGCTGAGGAAAATCAGATTTCCTAAGTTATAGGGAAAAATCAGGGACTGCCTGAATTATGAAAACAGCAGCTTTTGTATATGCAGGATATGCATTTCAATTAACATGATTAAACAGAGTTTTTTTGGGGATATAAAGTTATGGATGAAGAACTACTCAGGTTGTTTAATCAGAATAGAATTAAAGTGAACAAGGAAGCTTGATCATCCATGTACTACTCAACAAAAGTGTAAAACTCTTTTTAAGTTTTCATATTTTATCTGATTCCTCTTTGATAGAGTCTTAAAGTTTGTGATAAAAAAAAACCCCTCTTCACCTACTCTGGAATAACTGGGATATTGTGATGGTCTAGTTCATGAAATTTAGACTGCATTTCAGGAGTTAGTCACGTCAGGGTTGTCCCCAAGACCTGGGAGCTGGGAAATTTCTAGGGCTGTCACGAGTACCTGAAATAACCGAGAACCGCGGTCCCAAGTTGTTTGGTTCAGTTTCAGTTCCATTTTTCTGGATTTCAGTTCGGGTCTGGTTTATATATTAGAGTCTGTTCAATACAAAAAATGGCGTTGAAATCAAAGGAATGATGAACACTTGTCACGGAAGTATTAAATAATTAACAAAACGAGCAGGAATGGTCAGGTTGTGGCTAATAGTAGGCCAAGTAGTTCTACACACCGATGTCTAGACGTTCGCATGGTTAAGACTTGTTTTCAATGTAAATTTAGTGTAACAAATAAAGATTTTTCAAGTTAAATTCATGAAATTAAGGTTTAAAAAAGATGTAAATAACCGAACTGAAAGACCCGGAACCGAACCGAAAATTTACAGAACCGACCCGACCCGAAAAAATTTGGAACCGTGACAGCCCTAGAAATTTCCAAGCCTATAATGACATAATCCCCTGGTTATTCTGATATTCCCCCTCAACCCCCTGTCAGGGGGAGGAAACCCAGATCTCCATCTACTTTTTTGATATCCCCTGCTATTCAAATTCTTAGGGAAAACATTGCATGTTTAGTAAATAAATGAATTCTTGAAAACATTACCATACATGTTAACCTACTGTGATGAAAAGGAAGGAGATTCATTCAGACCTCAAAAGAGGTAACATTGTGTGTGATGTTTTACATTTCAATTTTGAGAGGATATATATATATATATATATATATATATATATATATATATATATATATATATATATATATATATATATATATATATATATATTTTGTATATATATATATATATATGGCAAATGTGATGCAATAGGAATTTAAGTATAATATTCATAGGTATTTTAAATTTATATAGCAATATTTTACAATTATTTTGATATCATGTAGTAGTCACATCACTCTATAACCTTATCATGCTTATGAAAAACTCCAAGAAATGTAGTAAGTTTCCTTGTTATGTCAGATGGGAGGTGAAACATGATGTTTTGTTGTAAGGAAATTATAGGCTTTCCATATTGTATTGATTTATTTAACACGTTTAATTTATCAAGTTACAAGCCAGGGTCAGTCAGACTTTTGTATTTTTTAGCTTGTGTTTAATTATTTCTTGATCTAGCTTGCGTTTTAAAATTTTTGCTCATGTTTTGTTATTTATAGCCCATGTTTTATTATTTTGATTAAGGCTGTGATTTATTTAAAGCCCATATTTTGTTATTTTTAGCTCATATTTTATTATTTGTAGATTGTGCTTTGTTATTTTTAGCTCATGTTTTGTTATTCTTGTTTAGCTCATGTTTTATTTATAGCTCATGTTTTGTTATTTGTAGCTTGTGATGTTATTTATAGCTCATGTTTTGTTATTTATAGCTCATGTTTTGTTATCTATAGCTCATGTTTTGTTATTTATAGCTTGTGATTTGTTATTTATAGCTCATGTTTTGTTATTTATAGCTTGTGATTTGTTATTTATAGCTCATGTTTTGTTATTTATAGCTCATGTTTTGTTATTTATAGCTTGTGATTTGTTATTTATAGCTCATGTTTTGTTATTTATAGCTTGGAGGCAGAGCTGGAGAATGTCCAGTTTGAGAAGCTGGACTTTGGGGAGACGTCCGTCCTGGACTTGTTTTACAACGCTGACGTGGTCATCGTGGACATGAGTATCCCTGTCCAGCAGTCGGCCCTGTTTTATCACATCGGAGTACGACAAAGCATGGAAATGAAGTTTAACATTGTCCTCCATTATGATGTGGACCCTGAGCAATCCTTGGCATTAAGGGTAAGGAGGGATTGAGGAGGTTTAAAGAGGGATTGAGGGGGGAGGGGAAGGGATTGAGAGGGAGGCATGGGATTGAGGGGGAGGGGAAGGAATTGAGGGGGAGGGTGGGATTGAGGGGGGGATTGAGGGGAGTGTAAAGAGGGATTGAGGGGGATGGGAAGGATTGATGGGGATGGGGTGGGATTGCGGGAGTATATGGAGGGATTAAGAGGGGGGATTGGGGAGGAGGGCTCCTCTTTTGTTTATATCTGTGGCATTACTGCAGATTTGTTTACCAATGACCAGGCATCTAATTTGGAAGAAGACTTGTCTAGTGGTTGTGGGACCTGGGTTCAGCATTATCATGATTATAGCATTATCTCAGACTCTCTTCCTTTTGCATTGACTGCATTAAGGGTAAGGAAGGATTGAGGGAGGGAGGATAAGGAAGGATAGAGGGGGGGATTAGGAAGGATTAAGGGGGGAAGGATAAGGAAGGATTGAGGGGGGAGGATCAGGAAGGATTGAGGGGAGGAGGATAAGGAAAGATTGAGGGGGGAGGATAAGGAAGGATTGAGGGAGGGAGGATAAGGAAGGATTGAGGGGGAGAGGAGATAGGATCGAGAAAAGTATGACTAATATATATGTATATATGTATTAATTGATAACAGTTTGAGGGGGGAAAAGTTGTGAGGAAAATAGTTTGCTTTGATAATACAGTGGTTTTTATTGTTGAATGTTATTTATTGATCTGTGTGCTATTTGTAGTTGTCCTGCGGTAACAACGTCCTGTTTTTCCCGTACCTGGTCGACAGTAATAAGACCTGCGTTGTCGTGGAGAACTCAACATTGCCTCAGAACTGCTGTGTTCACCCAGAAAAAGGGCAACAGTCATTGTTTGTACAACTCAAAAAGAAGCTCAGTGAAATGGAGAAAGAAAACACGTAATAAGAAAATTAATTTACATCACTCTGTCAAATTGTACATAAGCATAGTAATTGATATATTGTTACATATTTACCTGTTAATGGATTTAATATCAGCTAATGTGGAATTTGATTATTTTATGAAGGTCTGTCCGTTATTTAGAAGTTTACTGGAAAAAGAGCTCTTGACAAAGAATTTATTTATCAGTGACATGTTTTCATCGATATTCTACAGTCTTTAGATATTATTTTCTGTCTGTGTAGGGTGCACATCAAAGAGAGATTCCTGAATGATTTACGGAAAGCTCGCGATCAATATAAAGGAGAGGAGCTAGCCAAGGTCAGTGTAACCATGGCAACATGAATCACTGATATAATCGGAATCGTGTTACCATGGTGATAGAAACAAGTATCGTAGTTCCCTACTTGACTGAAGCTATGAAGCTGCTCTTGATGATCTCATTTATAAATGTTTAATTTGATATTGACCTTGAAGAAAGTGTGATAAATGTTTAAATTGATATTGACCTTGAAGAAAGTGTGATAAATGTTTAATTTGATATTGACCTTGAAGAAAGTGTGATAAATGTTTAAGTTGATATTGACTTTGAAGAAAGTGCTATAGCTATAAATGTTTAGTTTGATATTGACCTTGAAGTAAGTGCTATAAATATTAAATTTGATATTGACCTTGAAGAAAGTGCTATAAATATTTAATTTGATATTGACCTTGAATATCGTGCTATAAATGTTTAATAGGATAGTGACCTTGAAGAAAGGGCTATAAATGTTTAATTTGATATTGACTTTGAAGAAAGAGAGAGTTAAATACTTGAGGATAAATTGCTATGGTCCAGATATAAACACAGCCCTGTAAATTATTAATTCTGTAGAACTGACTAATGACCTTGCTATGGTAGTCCAGATATAAACACAGCCCTGTAAATTATTAATTCTGTAGAACTGACTAATGACCTAGCTATGGTAGTCCAGATATAAACACAGCCCTGTAAATTATTAATTCTGTACAACTGACTAATGACCTAGCTATGGTAGTCCAGATATAAACACAGCCCTGTAAATTATTAATTCTGTAGAACTGACTAATGACCTTGCTATGGTAGTCCAGATATAAACACAGCCCTGTAAATTATTAATTCTGTAGAACTGACTAATGACCTTGCTATGGTAGTCCAGATATAAACACAGCCCTGTAAATTATTAATTCTGTACAACTGACTATTGACCTTGAGTTATTTTGTCACTTTTGGCAAAAAAATTATAAATATCCTCATGTAGTTAAAATTCTTGAAAATTGAGTGTATTAATTTACATGATTACAAAATATATTTTTAATTTCCTTTATACAACATGTACAATATTCAGTACATATGGGTTAGTTTGGTTTCCTTTATATAATATTCAGTACGTATTACATTACAATGCTGTTGATTCACTTTATTGCAACATTACATCTTGTAAATTCACTTTATTTATTACATTACATGTTGTTGATTCATTAGGTCACCTGAGTCACTCAGGTGACCTATTGCTATCCGTTCTCATCCGTCATTGTGCGTCATGTGTTAACATTTAAACATTTTTAGCTTCTTCTCTGAAACCGCTTAACCAATTTCAACCAAATTTGGCATATATCATCTAAGGATGAAGGGGAACAAAAATGTGAATTTCATGGTCCCTGTCCTCCTGGGGCCTGAGGGGTGGGGCTAAAACCACCAAAAATAATGCAATCTTTAAAAATCTTCATCTTTACTCCTGGACATCAAGCAGCCAAACTGTTGGCGTCATTGTAATAAGCATTGAGCCCTTTACCAAAATTGTGAAATTCATGGCCCCAGGGTCAGGGGTTCTGGCCTCAGGGTGGGGCTATATAGATCATATAGTGAAAGTGCATTATTTCTTTGAAAATCTTCTCTGCTCCTGGGTATTAAATAAAGTAACTAAGTACATAGTTATGAAGAGCAAGAGTGCTTCTTCCAAAATTGTAAAATTCATGGCCCCAGGGTCAGGGGTTCTGGTGTTAGGGCGGGGCTCTATTGATTATATAGTGAAAAAGCATTAATTCTAATTAATCATTAATTAATCCTGTCTGCTCCTTAGTGTTGAGCTGATAAATAAATTGCTTAGCTATGATGAAAATGGGAGCTTCAAACAGAATTTTTAAATTTTGTGGTCCTAGGATCAGGGGTTCTGGCATAACAAGGGGGGGGGGGGGGCTTTTGATAATATAGTGGAAAAGTGTTAATTCTTTGAAGTCCATAGTTATGATGATGAGGGAAACTCTTCCAAATTTGTAATATTCTTGACCCTTGGTCTTGGGTTCTGGTGTTAGGGTAAGGCTTTGTTGAATCTGTAGTGAAAATGCATTGTACCTGTGAAATTCTTCTCTGCTTCTGGGCATATCAGAAGCAAACTGAGTAAAAGTTTAAATGATATAAGTAATACTGTTAATAGTCTGCATGGTGATAGTGTTAAGTGGGGGACAGATTAGAACTTAATTTATGAGTTGATGAACTTGATACTGAATACTAGACTAATTATTTTGTTGATCCTGATCTTCCTACTTCTCTTGCTTTAGGGCAACAAAGCTTCATCTATCAGTGTATTTAACTTCTAAATTGTTGTATTACATACTCAGGTGACCATTAAGGCCCTTGGGCCTCTTGTTTTATTTATTATTAAATGTTGTTGAATCACTTTGTTGATTACATTACATGATGTTGAATCACTATTGATTACATTACATGATGTTTAATCACTTGATTACATTACATGATGTTGAATCACTATTGATTACATTACATGATGTTGAATCACTATTGATTACATTACATGATGTTGAATCACTATTGATTACATTACATGATGTTGAATCACTTGATTACATTACACGATGTTGAATCACTTGATTACATGAAATGATGTTGAACCACTTGATTACATTACAGTATGTTGATTTCATGGATTTTTCAGGTTCTGGATGCTATGAAGACACGTCTAGATGATCCCCAGCTGTTATGTGTAGAGGTTGTCATGAATATGCTAATTTCTTTGAGAGAGACACAGGTCAGTAAACTGATAATTTATTTATTGGTAGTTTTGTATGTAGGGGTTATCATGAATGTGTTATTTTTTTCAAATTCAGATTGAATATTTAAAGATAGATTTGTATGCAGAGGTCATCATGAATATGCTTATTTCTTTAAGGAAACAAAAAATTTGTAATAAATATTTAAAGAAAGATTTGTAGGCATTGCAAAGGTCATCATGAATATGCTAATTTCTAGGAGATTTGGTTCTGTAAATTCATAATGAACATTTAAAGGTACTTTTGTAAGCATGTTTACAATTTTGTGTTCTGAACTCTAGCAGAATTATTTGTTATGTAACTATGATCGATGCTATGTGTCGTTTGTTACAGAACTATGACGCTATGGTGAAGTTGGTAGAAGATTTAGAACAGATTCCACAAAACAAGATTACAGGACAGTTCTGTGTGATGTATCTCTATGCCTTTGCTCTCAACAGGTCAGACAATCCTTCACTTAATTACTATACTTTCTGTCACTTTCATTTTTTTGAAAGTAAGCAGCCAGATAAAAAAGTCATAATTAAAGAAAATGATAAAAAAAAAAAAACCCTGAATTTCAAGAAAAATCATAAAGGTGTCACTGGTAAAATATTTAAAGTGGTTTTTAATTTTGCAGGAGAAATCAAAATGGTGATCGAAGTAAAGCTCTGAAAGTCATCCTAGAGGTAAGGTCAAAGGTCAAGGTCAGTCTGAGACCAGGTCAGATTTCTGGGTCATTAATTTTGTACTTTTCTGTATTGTTTTTTCCAGATGTAAACATTTCCATGTTCAGTGCTGTTTACCTTTTTGTAAGCAATACATTAATTGGACAGACAATTCCTGTCCTCATGAATATGGATGTGTACTTTAGATAGACCTAGTTGCACTTTAATCATTCTATTTACTGGTCTGTTTTTGTGCAGACAATTCATCAAATGGACAATCCAGTCCAGACATGCTGTGTTTGTGTGGTCAGATCTAATGTTTACTTCTTCTTAAATCCTGTTATTTAATCATTCCCTATTTTCTGTTGTGCAGGCGATTCGTCAAACAGACAATCCGAGTCCGGACATGCTGTGTTTGTGTGGCCGGATCTATAAGGATATGTATGTAGACTCTGAATTCACCGACCGTTCTATGCTGGACAATGCCATTGAGTGGTAAGTCAGGTCAAGTAGGGTCAAAGTTCAAATGTCAGCCTCCTGTTAACCTGACTGTTCTAAAGTACCATGCTTCATGAATTTATTTGGCCGAAGAACATTTTATGCTTTGATTTTTCATTTAACTTGAAAGGTCTAAATCTGCATTCTGTCAAACGTATGTCAAGATTTTTGTTCTTCTGTTCAGTTAGAATTTCCTCTGTTACAGGTACAGAAAGGGTTTTGATAGACAGCCTAACGAGTACGCTGGGATTAATCTTGCTACATTGTTAGTCATCTCGGGGAAGGATTTTGCCTCTTGCTCAGAGCTTCAAAGAATAGGTACACTATTATTGTATAAAATGTCCCTCACCAAAGACAAAGGAATTTAATTATTACAACTAATTATAAATAAACAATATAACTTCAGAGTAGTACATGGTAGTAGCTCAGACACACCGAATTAACTAAATGAGTTATTTCTTTGTTAAGTCATAAACAAGTAATGTAAGCGAGTTATTTTAAAAAATAACTTGTTTCCATCATGCCTCAGACACACCAAAAGCTTACAGCTGTATATGTGTTTTTTTTTCTATCAATGTAACAGGAGAAACAAAATCGTCAGGTCTCATGATTAAATAATGTTGATCAGGGTTAATATAAAGGAAAGTATTTGCAAGTGTAAATATTAGGGTATATGTTTTGTGTTTTAAGGGTTAAGTAGAGAGCTGTGGTCAGTATTACATTGTATTATGTAAATTTTCTCAGGTCTGGTGTTAAATAATCTGATGGTAAGAAAGGCAGTCTGACTGTGTTACATTGTATTATTTACTCAGGTCTGGTGTTAAATAATCTGATTGGTAAGAAAGGCAGTCTGACGTCACTACAGGACTACTGGGATGTTGCTACGTTCTTCGAGATCTCGGTCCTTGCACAGGATTATGGGAAGGCCGTACAAGCTGCTGAATGTATGTTTCGACTTGAGCCGCCAAACTGGTGAGTGATAACACAAGGAAACTTACACATACAAATCCCAAAACAAACTCCAAACTTACACATACAAATCCCAAAACAAACTCCAAACTTACACATACAAGTCCCCAAACAAACTCCAAACTTACACATACAAATCCCAAAACAAACTCAAAACTTAGACATACAAATCCCAAAACAAACTCAAAACTTACCCTCACAAATCCCAAAACAAACTCCAAATTTACCCTCACAAATCCCAAAACAAACTCCAAACTTACCCATACAAATCCCAAAACAAACTCCAAACTTACCCATACACATACAAATCCCAAAACAAACTCCAAACTTACCCATACAAATCCCAAAACAAACTCCAAACTTACACATACAAATCCCAAAACAAAGTCCAAACTTACACATACAAATCCCAAAACAAACTCCAAACTTACACATACAAATCCAAAAACAAACTTCAAACTTACACATACAAATCCCAAAACAAACTCAAAACTTGCACATACAAATCCCAAAACAAACTCCAAACTTACAAATACAAGTCCCCCCAAAAAACTAAAAAAAACTTACCCATACAAATCCCAAAACAAACTTTAAACTTACACATACAAATCCCAAAACAAACTCCAAACTTACACATACAAATCCCCAAAAAACTCAAAAAACTTACACACACAAATTCCAAAACAAGCTTAAAAAAACTTACACATAAAAATCCTAAAACAAACTCCAAACTTACACATACAAATCTCAAAACAAACTCCAAACTTACACATACAAATCTCAAAACAAACTCCAAACTTACACATACAAATCCCAAAACAAACTCCAAACTTACACATACAAATCCCAAAACAAATTCCAAACTTACACATACAAGTCTCAAAACAAATTCAAAACTTACACATACAAATCCCAAAACAAACTCAAAACTTACACATACAAATCCCAAAACAAACTCAAAACTGGTACAATACCCAACCCAAAAATAGATACATTTGTCAAAATACTGTTATTTTCCTCTCTATCCAATCACTGTGTTTAGAGGATATCTACATTGCTGTTATTGACACTCTGTTGTTACCAGGATTAATTACTGATTACAGGTACCTGAAGTCTACAGTGGGTAACATATCTCTAATTATGAGATTTAAGAAGAAGACACCTAGTTACTCCAAAGAACTTCAGGTAATGTAACATTATCAAGATAGTAAAGTTACAGGGCAGTTACTGTAAAGTAACAAACCAAAGTTATCATAGGAAAATTACTGTAATTTACATAATATAGCAAAGTTACAGGAAAATTACAGTAAAGTAACATGACATGGTGTTTTAAAGAATTTCAATAAAGTAATATATGATAAAATCAATGTAACTAACATGATCAAGTGTTCTAAAGAACAGCAGGTATAGTAACAATGTAACAGATAGGACAATAATGTAATCAAGTTACAAAGATGATAAAGTGTTCTAAAGAACAGCAGGTATAGTAACAATGTAACAGATAGGACAATAATGTAATCAAGTTACAAAGATGATCAAGTGTTCTAAAGAACAGCAGGTATAGTAACAATGTAACAGATAGGACAATAATGTAATCAAGTTACAAAGATGGTAAAGTGTTCTAAAGAACAGCAGGTATAGTAACAACGTAACAGATAGGACAATAATGTAATCAAGTTACAAAGATGATCAAGTGTTCTAAAGAACAACAGGTATAGTAACAATGTAACAGATAGGACAATAATGTAATCAAGTTACAAAGATGATCAAGTGTTCTAAAGAACAGCAGGTATAGTAACAACGTAACAGATAGGACAATAATGTAATCAAGTTACAAAGATGATCAAGTGTTCTAAAGAACAACAGGTATAGTAACAATGTAACAGATAGGACAATAATGTAATCAAGTTACAAAGATGATCAAGTGTTCTAAAGAACAGGAGGTATTGTAACAATGAAACAGATAGGACAATAATGTAATCAAGTTACACAGGAAGTAATAATGATTATGTTAGGTTTATAAATAATGTTGAATTTGTTTTAGAGGGTACAATTCCTGTTATATCTGTTTATTTTTTAGTTGTTTAATTTTTGGATGGAGTTTTTCGCTGAGGCGTGTAAGACAGATTCTAAAGAGTTAACCAGCTCTTCATTTCCAGTAAGTACATAATTACCATGGTAACAGATATTTTAGATTACTGTAATTGACAATTTAGACAATTTATTTAGATCTGCATCCTTGTGAAATCCTTCCTTGTATGGGAAAAGTTCACAAGATAAGGTTTTTGTTAGAAATACTGGGATAAACTGTTGAATGTGAGATTTTTAATGAATTATTCCAATGTTTTCTGATTTTTCTTCAGGAATACTGTCCAGGATAAATTTTATTAAAATAGCCCCCCTCCCCCCCCCCAAATGTTTAACTATGCCACCAAATGTGTATGGCAAGTTACATGTCCAGGTGAACTGAATTAAGGACATGAATCTTATACTATCATATTTGCAGGTGTTGATCCAGGAACCCAATAGAGTGTTAATGCTGCACTATGTCCTGGTTAACTAGGACAAGGACATAAATCTTATATTATCATAATTACAGGTGTTGATCCAGGGGCCCAATAAAGTGTTAATGCCGCACTGTGTTCTAGAATATGAATCATTTATTGTTGTAATTGCAGGTGTTGATTCAGGAGCCCAATAAAGTGTTAATGCCTAGTTATGTACAGGTGAACTGGGACGAGGATACTAAGGAGGTCCGACTGTGGCACGTTTACCCGGAGTCAGAATCATCTAAAGATCACGAGTGGACGTTCCCAGCCATGTCTATCAAAGGAGTCAGGTACCTCCCCCTTTATTAGGTTTGATCAGGTATTATCTAAGATCATGAGTGGACGTTCCCAGCCATGTCTATCAAGGGAGTCAGGTATCTCCCCCTGTATGGGTTTAATCAGGCAATATATAATTCTTCAAAAACGATATGCCTCCTTCAGTTTTGGTTTGATATACATGTAAAACTTAAATATAAAACTTATACAAGTGAAGTAAACAGAAAAAAAACATAATTCTGTTAAGCTAGTTACATATTGCAAGTTAACTTTTCTCTGAAACTGTCGGATGTTCAAAGCAGTGCAGCTAGTGTCAACATAGACTTTTGATTTGGTTAGAATGTATATGTTGTTTGGTTTATTTTTTCATTCAGTTTGATAGAAAGGTTTGATCTCATTACAGTTTATACAGAAGAGACTGCAGGGCGGTGTTTCTCTACGTCCAGGAAAACTCTGACGATTTTCATATTTTCTTCTCGTCAGAGCTACAGAGAAGGGAGTAAGTCTATATATATATATATTATACATGTTATGCATATACATGTATAACGTACAGTAAGTTTCGTCAGAGCTACAGAGAAGGGAGTAAGTCTACATACATATGTTATACATATATAACGTACAGTAAGTCTCGTCAGAGCTACAGAGAAGGGAGTAAGTCCACATACATGTTATACATATACATTAGACAAAATTGCTAACGCACCACCCAAAGAAATTAACATTTTTCTTTTCAAAACTTGTTTATGATGTTTTTGATATATAATTATGTTACTTTAATAAAAAATGAGACATTTTAAATGCTTTAACTGATAAATAACGACAATGTTTACTGAAGCATAACCACTTCATAGAAAAAATTTAAATCATATCCATACCTTTTTGGGGAATAAATTTCTATTTTTTTCGTTGTGGTTGTGTTCTTTATGTTTGTACTAATTAAAAACTCAGAAAAAAAGTTACACCGTATGCGGTGTTTGACTCTAGAAGAGCGTGCTAAGGCAGCCAGTATGGTGTCTGCAGCGGTTCCTTTGAAGAAATTTGTGAAAAATTAAAAGAATTCAATGATTATGAATTTCTCTGGTGAAAAATTGTTGAAAATGAATTAACGATCATAAAAATGTTTACAATAGATATCGACAGCATTAAGTGAGCACCACACAATAATTTCAAGATTGTTCCACAAAATTGGGGCAAGCGGAAGTTGGGTGGATTTGGTAGGGACACCAAGGCACTGGATGACTACTAAGCGATATGGTAGTCAATCAGGGTATATCATTTGATTTTCAAATGGGAGACTGCTCCCGTCGCAACGTCACGGACCACCATCGGTAATCACCAACTTCATATCTTGGCAAAAACGGTGTGCAGTGCACGTCGGGAAATTGGTTTTCGGACAAGAAGGTCCTTTACGGGTCTTGACATGACACCAAGACATTTGTCAATCCAACTGTTTTGGAAAAGATGGCATATTTTATATACTAGTACCAATCAGGAAAATGATCAGTTCACAAATAAGAATAATAAGTGGTGCGTTAGCAATTTTGTCTAGTGTATAGCGTACAGTAAGTCTCGTTAGAGCTACAGAGAAGGGAGTAAGTCCACGTACATATGTTATAATGGGGCATACAGTTAGTCACTGTAATTATTATAATGGTCCATACAGTTATTATATATTTAACAGATACCATAGTGCAGTTATATATCACTGTGTTATATTTACATATCTTTCTGATTTTATTACACATTTTTATGCTGTTACATATCTTCTAGATTCTATAACATACTCTATGTGTTGGTGTTCTTACACGTGTTCTAGATTGTTAAGTTATTATATATCTGTTATAATTAAACATCTTACAGTTTCTATAACATACTCTATGTATTGTTGTTATCTTACAGATTCTATAACATGGTGTCCAACATGATCAAAGATCAGGCAGACAGTCAAGTCTTCTCTGAGTCCCTGGATGAGTACGACTCAATAGAGGTAAGTACAGTTGTACTTATAAACAGGAGTCCTTAGTGCATATGTACTGGACGAGTACTACTCAATTAAAGTAAGTACATTTGTACTTACCTTAATTGAGTAGTACTCATCCAAAGTACATTTGTACTTATAAATAAACAGGTGTCCTTAGTGCATATGTAATGCTCACACAGGCAGTCTTAAGTACTAAGTTCTCAATAAATGAGTATTGAATCAAAATGGTAAGTACCACTGAGTATATGGGATGGGGGGGGGGGGGGGGGGGGGAGGGGGGGAGTATGACATAAACAATTAAACATGAGCTGAAGAGTACATGTATCTCTACTTTGATACATTTATAAGTATTAGATTTGATTTCTTTTTCCAGTATAAGTATGCCTTGATGAATTTGTTTTCTATTTATAGTACCAGTATGAATTGGATGAGAAAAATCAGCGAGTTGTGTTAGGACGAGGCAGTTTCGGGGTGGTTTATGCAGCACGTGACACAAAAACTCAAGTCAGGATTGCTGTCAAAGAAATTCCAGAGAAAAATACACAGTAAGAAAACATGAAGCCTTTTGCTGACTTTATTTGATACTTTACAGGGGAGATAAGCCATTCCATAACAAACTGTCACTTTAAATCTCTTGCTGACAATATATAGCACTTAACTGTGGTGCAGGTTTTAAAACACAAATGTCACTTTGAATCTAAATTGTATAACTGACTTTATTATTCCTGAGTACATAGAGATGCAGCCCTTTTTATTTGTAAATGTTGTATTAAATCTCTTGCTGACTTTATATTCCGGAGAGACATAAATGTCACTATAAATCCATAGCTGACTCTACATTATACTTTACAGAGAGATACATAAATGTCACTGTAAATCCATAGCTGACTCTACATGTATATTTTACAGGGAGATACATAAATGTCACTGTAATTCCATAGCTGACTCTACATGTATATTTTACAGGGAGGTGCAGCCCCTTCATGAGGAAATTAAGCTCCACAGCCGACTAAGTCACAAAAACATCGTCAAATATCTCGGCTCGGTCAGCCAGGATGGCTACTTCAAAATCTTCATGGAACAAGTTCCTGGAGGTCAGTAAGGTCAAAGGTCATCTATAATAGGTCATCAATAGGGTTCACTGATTTTGCAAAACTTGTAAAGGCAAAGAATCTGAATTTAGATTTTCATTTGAGTGACAAATTCTTTGGCTAATGATGGACTTCTCAATGAGTGACTTTAGTGAGTCTGATTTGTAGGAAGCCTTTCTGCTCTGCTGCTGTCCAAATGGGGGCCACTGAAAGACAATGAGACAACAATAGCATTCTACACAAAGCAGATTTTGGAGGGCCTCAAATACTTGGTGAGTGTGTTGCTAGAGGGCCTCAAATACCTGGTGAGGTTGTCATCAAATATTGTTACCTTAAGGTGCTAGGTATCTTGCAGAATATTGTTGTTAAAGTCTGACTTTCTTTGTAGCATGATAACAAAATCGTCCACCGTGACATTAAAGGCGACAATGTCCTGGTCAATACGTACAGCGGTCTTCTGAAGATTTCCGACTTTGGCACGTCCAAGCGTCTGTCTGGCATTAATCCCTGTGCTGAGACTTTTGCAGGTAAAACGAAAGACTTGAAAAGTAATTTTGAAAGTGTTTTTTAAACCTCGACTGTGTGATGAAGTTAATATAGTTTTCATATTGTAATAAGGTTAAGGGTACATACTTGTATTTCACAATTATTTCTTGTTTATTTATAGGAACGATTCAATACATGGCTCCTGAGGTGATAGACAAGGGCCTTCGTGGGTACGGTCCTCCAGTGAGTAATTTTACATTTATTGAATTAACCAACATTGAATCTACTCTGTGACTCTCTGGAAATGTTCTTAGTCTTTAATACAATCTGACCTTGAACTGGAAATATCTCTCAGCATTTCAGTAGTATGTATGATACAACATCAGGTAAAACATGGCCACAGCAGACATTTTTGTTCAATTTGTATGAACAGGATGTTGTTTCTTTCAAATTCATGGATTTAGACAGAATACATAGTTTAACTTTGTCATATTTTGTGGAGAAGTTGAATGCTTTGCACAGATATGATACTGTATTTTATACAGACTGACATTTGGTCCTTGGGTTGTACCGTTATAGACATGATACTGTTTTTATTTTAGGCTGACATTTGGTCCTTGGGTTGTACCGTTATAGAAATGGCTACAGGAAAGTTGCCATTTATAGAGGTAAGCTGACCTTATTTATTTGTTTTTGTTTATTTTTATGTATCTAACATTCTTTTAGAAATGTAAGTACAATAGTATCACTGTATTTCCTATGGCTTTATGTAGTTTATGGTTTACGGAGCCCCATCTGTCTGTCTTTGAGTATGATAACTTTGTTTTTACATTCTAAGCTTGGAAGTCCTGAGGCAGCTATGTTTAAAGTTGGTTTCTACAAAATGCACCCAGAAATCCCAGACACAATGTCACAGAATGCCAAAGATTTCCTACTCAAGTAGGTCAAATATTGCAGTTTTGTGTTTGAAATTGGAAATTGTTAAAGGCAATTTCAGTGTATGTGTATATTTTCTGGAGGAGATTTTCAAGGAAATTTTGTTGATTGAAGCGATTCTGTTGTTTTATAGTGAAAGTGCTTTTCTCAAATTTGTGTTTTAGATCAGTTACAAATACATATTTTCATGTTTCATTACTTATGAACCCTGGGAGGGGGGGGGGGGGGGGGGGCATTCATGACCTATGGACATATTTCTAGTTACTTCTGTTAAAGAAGAATATGACTAATATGATTATATCATATAACTTTACACAAGGTTAAAAGGGAGATGAACACAACTGACATGTGCCTTCTTTATTCATGTGGTAAATTCTAACACATACGTAAGGTTATTTATTTCTATTTTATTTTAGAACATTTGAACCAAAGCCAGAATTGCGGGCCACTGCAGAGGATTTACTGAAACATCCATTTATTGTGGAGTGAGTCTAATTTAACTAAATAGTCAGTGACCAATCTTTAAGATTAAGCTTCAGAAAGTTGTTGTACTCAAGTGATTGTCCTATCGACCTTTTCTGTTGTAGAACATTATCAAAGAAGAAAAAGAAGAGAGCAAATGATGGTGAATATTTCCGCAGTATTTCTAGTAAGTATGTTGGTGAATATTTCCTCAGCATTTCTAGTAAGTTTGATGAAAGCACAAATGATGAAAATGCTCTTTCATCCCTTCATTGTATAATATCAGTAATTGTTGCTAGAGATCAGTTGTCATTGCTAGATAACAGTCATCATTTCTAGATATCAATTGTCATTGTTATATATCAGTTGAAATTGCTAGATATCAGTTGTCATTGTAAGATATCTGTTGTCAGCACTAGATTTTTATTTAGTCATCATTGCTAGTTATAAGTTGTTGTTGCTAGATGTCAGTTGTCAATGCTACAAATCAGTTGTCCTTGCTAGCTCTGTGTGTCATTGCTAAATATCAGTTATAATTGCTAGATATCAGCTGTTATTGCCATATATGAGTTGTCATTGATTATCAGTCATGATGTCTTCAGTGTGGTATTACCAGTTTATCTTTGTTTATTTGACATTGTTCTTCTGTTTTATTTTAGTGCCAGCTGGACAGGAAGGGCACATCCAGCACAAGAACGCAATGCAGCTGCAGCTTCCAAAGAAAAAAAGGTGAGAGAGAGAGAGAGAGAGAGAATGAGTGAGTGAGAGAGAGCTGCAGCTACCAAAGAAGAAAAGGTTGGATAATATACACTCAAACAGTTGTTACTATTTATAGTGACTTTTATCATTTCGTCATTATGTACATGTAAATGTGATAGTATACGATACATGGCATCCTACTAGCTTGGGCTAGTGGGTTAACCCTTTAGCTCAATTGGTAGAGCACTGGACTGGCAAGCCAGAGGCCCCGGGTTCAATCCCCAGCAGAGGCACATACATGTCTCTGTTACATATATACATTGCTACATATCGTCTGACACAGCTATACCGGTAATTTTATGTTTCGGTTTTTTCCAACAATATCTTACGACAATTAAGCAGCATAACTTGTAAATGGGTCAGAGTTAATTAGATGATTGAGCAGTATAACTTGTAAATGGGTCAGGGTTAATTAGATGATTGAGCAGTGTAACTTGTAAATGGGTCAGGGTTAATTAGATGATTGAGCAGTATAACTTGTAAATGGGTCAGGGTTAATTAGATGATTGAGCAGTGTAACTTGTAAATGGGTCAGGGTTAATTAGATGATTGAGCAGTGTAACTTGTAAATGGGTCAGGGTTAATTAGATAATTAAGCAGTATAACTTGTAAATGGGTCAGGGTTAATTAGATGATTGAGCAGTATAACTTGTAAATGGGTCAGGGTTAGTTAGATGATTAAGCAGTATAACTTGTAAATGGGTCAGGGTTAGTTAGATGATTAAGCAGTATAACTTGTAAATGGGTCAGGGTTAATTAGGACTGACTTTACCTAGGTATTGCCTGTGCAAGCCCTCTCCATAGTATGTATCAGTGTCACTATTTATAGAAATCTAAGGCTGGACATACCTGGCACAGTAAGAATTTGGAACGTGATGATTTGTTTCTATTTATAGAGAATTATACTCTGAATTCCTTTGACATTGTGATGATGTGACTGTTTCTATTTATAGAGAACCACGCTCCCCCGCCTCTAGTATCGGTAGTAATGACACAATGGATATGGACGAATATGATGCGACAGAAGAGAAAGAACGGGAAAGGTAACCCTCCTTTGGATGTGCTCGTGTTTCCTCATTTAATTCAATGTGTTCAGTTGCTGAGTTTTCCTTTGATTTTTATGAATGTTCTCACTAAAAGTTATCTCCCTTTGTCAGTTTATCAGAATCCCCCCACCCTTAATTTACAAATTAAAATGTTTGATTTTTTTATTATTTCATTATTGACCAAACGCATAATAAAAGTCAGTGAAATTTAATCCATATATTGGCAATTTTCAAAGGGAAAAAATGATGATCTGTTATGCCACAAAGGGACATAACTTGTGTGAGAGTCATCTGTTGTGCCCACCTTAGCGTTAATTAACAGCATCTACAATGTACTCAGCACAGCATGCAGAACTTATCAATAGCTAGATCTTCACAAGTCTGAGGAGAATTGTGTTTGTGATCAACACTGGAAAGTCAAACTGATTTCCCCCCTCTAAATATACCCCTGATAGCATCTAACAATGATATATATAATAAAAAAAAATATTATACAACAATAACATCAACTTTAATTGAGTATTCAGAATAGAAGCTTAATGATGATATATAGAAGAAAACTAAGCTTATTACAGGTAGGTGTAAACCATGGATGATATTCAGAATAGGAAGGCCTATTATAAGTGTGAAGTGATAATAAGTCTATCCCGTCAATTATGAGCTACAAATGATAATGGAATATGCTGGCCATACCTGGGACACAGTCTACCCAGTGTAGTATGAGTCTCGGACAATAATGGAATATGTAGGCCATACCTGGGACATGGGCAAATTATACAGAAAATATCGGGCTACTTGGGTGTCCTTTGATGTCTAGAATGGGTAGACCTTTCTGTGTGAACCCTGACCCTGACTTTGATTAAGAAGTAGGTCAACCTGCCTTGTTTTGATGAAATCTAGAAGGTCTATAATATACACACTTGGCTTAATTTACACACATCTGCAGAAAAAAAAACCCACACAAACGGCAGCCATGCTTCAATTTAACATCCATGTGCTGGCTATTAGCATTAATCCTGCTTTTCTTTCGAAATTTTACCCTCCCCTCTTCTAGTTCTTACTAGCAACTGTTAATCAATTAGGGAGGGGATACTGGTGCTTTTAAAAAAAGTGTTCATAACTTATGAGCATTCACTTTATTTTGTGGATATGGATGATGAAATGGTTATTTGGGGCCTGCTTGGCTTTGTGGGTTGGGGTTTTTATAACAATACGAGTGTCTACTTTAGGTTTGAGGGATGGAGTTTGTTTGATAAGATTTTATGCTCTCTTAAATTTGTTGGTAGGGAAGTTATGGTGAGATTTCTTGATGATTGCCTTAACTTTATGGATGGGGATTAGTTTTTGGTGATTTTGTTGCCTATGCCCAAACTTTGTTTTGTGGATCTAGCTTAACTTAAAAAGATTCTGAAAGCCTCTTAGCTGCCTTTGTTTGGGTTGGGGTTAGTTTTAGGATATATCTATATGCGATACCCACCTTTGCTTTGTAGGTGGGGGTTAGTTTGAGAATATAACTACACCTGATGCCCCACTTTGTTTTCTGGGTGGGGGTTAGTTTTAGGATATTTCTACACTTGATTCCCCCCTTTATTTTCTGGGAGGGGGTTAGTTTTACGATATTTTTACACTTGATTCCCCCCTTTGTTTTATGGATAGGGGTTAGTTTGTGTATATATCTACCTGATGTCCCCCTTTGTTTATGGGTAGGGGTTAGTTTGTGTATATATCTATATCTGATGTCCCCCCTTTGTTTATGGGTAGGGGTTAGTTTGTGTATATATCTACACCTGATGTCCCCCTTTGTTTATGGGTAGGGGTTAGTTTGTGTATATATCTATACCTGATGTCCCCCTTGGTTTATGGGTAGGGGTTAGTTTGTGTATATATCTATATCTGATGTCCCCCTTTTTTTATGGGTAGGGGTTAGTTTTACGATATTTTTACACTTGATTCCCCCCTTTGTTTTATGGGTAGGGGTTAGTTTGTGTATATATCTACCTGATGTCCCCCTTTGTTTATGGGTAGGGGTTAGTTTGTGTATATATCTATATCTGATGTCCCCCTTTGTTTATGGGTAGGGGTTAGTTTGTGTATATATCTACACCTGATGTCCCCCTTTGTTTATGGGTAGGGGTTAGTTTGTGTATATATCTATACCTGATGTCCCCCTTGGTTTATGGGTAGGGGTTAGTTTGTGTATATATCTATATCTGATGTCCCCCTTTTTTTTATGGGTAGGGGTTAGTTTGTGTATATATCTATACCTGATGTCCCCCTTTGTTTATGGGTAGGGGTTAGTTTGTGTATATATCTATATCTGATGTCCCCCTTTTTTTTTATGGGTAGGGGTTAGTTTGTGTATATATCTATATCTGATGTCCCCCTTTGTTTATGGGTAGGGGTTAGTTTGTGTATATATCTACCTGATATCCCCCTTTGTTTATGAGTAGGGGTTAGTTTGTGTATTTATCTATACCTGATGTCCCCCTTTGTTTATGGGTAGGGGTTAGTTTGTGTATATATCTATACCTGATGTCCCCCTTTGTTTATGGGTAGGGGTTAGTTTGTGTATATGTCTATATCTGATGCCCCCCTTTGTTTTATGGGGAGGGGTTAGTTTGTGTATACAGTGGCGCCGCGTTTATCCGGACGCCATTTATCCGGACGCTTCACCATCCGGACGATATTTTTTGTGAACCGAATTTTTCCACGTTAATTTGTCTCATTAATCCGGAAATTCGCGTTCCGTATCCGGACGGTCAATTTCTACTACAAAACATAATAGTTCATTGAAAAATGACTCGTTTATCCGGAGGGTAATTTTTCAAGAAATGACATTTTCACACTTATCTTGCATATACGTGTTAATTGTTGTAAAAACATTGGCCATGCAGTCAGTTTGAAGGCGGTTACCTGTGACCTACAAACAATAGCGTCTATAATTAGCGTGTGTTTACCCCAATTCAATCACACGTTTATCTTTATTATGAAGCTCCAAGAATTTAGCTGACACTGTGCATCAATTAAATAATAATCCGTTCAAAATCATATTGCTAACCGTATATACATCGGTAAATTCAGGAGAATTTGGGAGAGTTTTAAATAAAATGAACAATAAATAACGAGCGATTTCGTAATGCTCTTTATCATGTTGATTGCGTTGGTTTAAAATACGTGATGTTCCATTTCTAAAAAAAACGTAAATGTATTTGAAACGATTTTTTCCCACAAGACAGTATAGAAAGGTACATAATTGAAGAAATATCTCTATTTAATGTACTACCGTTTACAAGCGTCCATTACATAGAAAACTGGCGTTACGTACAGAATTTAATTACGTTTTTCAAGGTATTTTTTAATGATCGAAATTCAAACTTAGCGTCTGTAGAAAAAATAATATTGATAATCATGAAGATGGCTTGTGTTTACAAATGTTTTGTTTTGTTTTTTTAAAAAAAAATACTTTGTTTGAGTTAGTTTGCAGTGTCCAGTTAATTTTATGGTAACCCTGTGTAATGAATATACGGGGAATATACAGGGTTAGTTTATATTTGAACATTTTCAATGATGATGTTGAACAGTTCTGTCATATCATATGAGCTTCAATAATTATAATATATGGCAAAATAAAACAACAGTTGATCAAAATTTGCTCAACCCATGAAGTCACATGCCAAAGAGAAGACGAATTAAAAAAGGTGGTCTCGGCATAAAATTGCCCATCATTTTTTTTTATTGTGTAAATTACATTTTAATATATTTTTTCATTAATCAATTACTGCTTTTAAAACAATTAAACAAAATATAATTTCAAAGTTTGTTTTTTTCTTTGCTGTTACATTTGAAACAAGAATGTCCATATACATTGTATACATGCTTAGAGAGTGCTTTTTGAGATGTGATTCAATTATCCGGACGATTCATTTATCCGGACGATTTCGGTGGGGACAGAGGCGTCCGGATAAACGAGGCGCCACTGTATATCTATATCTGATCCCCCCTTTGTTTATTGGTAGGGGCTAGTTTGTGTATCTATATCTGATGTCTCCCTTTGTTTATGGGTAGGGGTTAGTTTGTGTATCTATATCTGATGTCCCCCTTGGTTTATGAGTAGGGGTTAGTTTGTGTATATATCTATACCTGATGCCCCCCTTGGTTTATGGGTAGGGGTTAGTTTGTGTATATATCTATACCTGATGTCCCCCTTTGTTTATGGGTAGGGGTTAGTTTGTGTATATATCTATACCTGATGTCCCCCTTGGTTTATGAGTAGGGGTTAGTTTGTGTATATATCTATACCTGATGCCCCCCTTGGTTTATGGGTAGGGGTTAGTTTGTGTATATATCTACACCTGATGTCCCCCTTTTTTTATGGGTAGGGGTTAGTTTGTGTATATATCTATCTGATGTCCCCCCTTTGTTTATGGGTAGGGGTTAGTTTGTGTATATATCTATATCTGATGTCCCCCTTTGTTTATGGGTAGGGGTTAGTTTGTGTATATATCTATACCTGATGTCCCCCTTGGTTTATGAGTAGGGGTTAGTTTGTGTATATATCTATATCTGATGTCCCCCTTTGTTTATTGGTAGGGGTTAGTTTGTGTATATATCTACACCTGATGTCCCCCTTTTTTTATGGGTAGGGGTTAGTTTGTGTATATATCTATCTGATGTCCCCCCTTTGTTTATGAGTAGGGATTAGTTTGTGTATATATCTATACCTGATGTCCCCCTTTGTTTTATTGGTAGGGGTTAGTTTGTGTATATATCTATATCTGATCCCCCCTTTGTTTATGGGTAAGGGTTAGTTTGTGTATATATCTATACCTGATGTCCCCCTTTGTTTATGGGTAGGGGTTAGTTTGTGTATATATCTATATCTGATGTCCCCCTTTGTTTATGGGTAGGGGTTAGTTTGAGGATATTTCTATACCTGATGCCCACATTTATTTTTACAGCGATCTAAAATACCACAGATCACGTAGTCTCCATTGTGGATTCCTGGCCGTGGACAGAACAGACAGGTAGGCATGGCAACAAGGGTTTTCTGCATGTTACCATGACAACACCACAGCTATGTACTAAAAGCTTGATTACTAATAATTTACAGTAGAAACTTCTGCTTTGCTTTATACACACATTAATTCCCCAACTCACTAACAATGCTATAAGTGATGTTAAATGTCCAATGATGGTCTCTAAAATTATTTAGAATGCTCAAATTCAAATCAAACTTAGTAACTGCACTCATAGAAATGTTACAGATTTTGTTAAGTTAGGGGTGAAATGTTAAGAATCTTAATTTAAGAATATGTTGTGTATGATGAAGGTAATATTGAGGATTGGAATCTAAGAATCAATGTGTATTATTATGGTTTGGTGATTACTCAGGGATGCAATCAGTTCTATATAGGATTACTGATAGAGAATATTTTCTATTGTATCTGGTTGTATGTGTGAGAGAGAGAGAGAGAGAGAGATGGTTGTGGACAGAAGACAGAGTTGTCATCTCTCTGTGTTGTATTTTGTAAAGGATGACAAGAATTCTCATTAACTCCATTAATATCAGGATAACATATTGATTCTGAAGAATTAGCCTACTTCCTGTGTGTATATTGCCAGAATCACAACACATTTGCTCTGTTGAATTATCCCACATTATTTGTGTGAACCACGTTAGATCGCATGTGATGGTATTGGGTCATTTTACTTCAGGAAAGTAGATCTAGGATTTCGTAAACGAGCAGGATCTGACAGCAAATTCCTGGAACGTAACCGGTAAGTTAGGTCACATGTCCATCATGTGACCAAGTCACTCTGATTTCAGCATGGCTTTGCTTCACTGCTTGATGTGTGGATGTGTTATAATGTTGTGTGAAGACGTTGCTGGGTATTCATGTCTTGTTCTCTCTCTAACCATGTCTACACATGTCTGGGCACCATGTGACACTGACAAAAGAAATGGAGAAATCATACATTCAAACTTGGTTATTACAATCAATAATTTTAGGAGGCGATTAATTAGGGGCTGGACTATAATTTTAGGAGATGGAGTCAGCACCTTCATTTTCATTCTGATGAATCAGAAAAGTATAAGCTATGCTTAAGGAGCTTCATGTATTAAGATTAAGATATATATTTTATTCAGTAAATTAAAATTTATGCATAACATTTTTTGCATATTTCATGAAATATTTATCCCTTTGAAGGACAAATAATCAAATTCATTCATAACCAGCTTGAAATACATTAACACATTCAGTGTATTATCAATTTGTTCTGTGTTCATGAACACTCATTCTTAAACCATTTAATATGTATTTTATTTCCTTACCTTTACATAAAGCCTTATTAATATCACATAATTCATATGTATAATTATGGCTAAGTTGGACTTATCTACCTTCTACAAATCTACCTTTACTCCTGGACTTCTGGGAGAGAATCTACAGGAATACCATAATGATTATAGAGTCCTCACCAAACTGTTCAATTTTTGTCACTTCAATATGAGTTCCAGACCCAAAGTGAGAAACACACAATTTTCAGGTGACCATTAAGGCCCATGGGCCTCTTGTTAAGGTTATGAGTTGAAAATTGTAAAATTCAAAACTTTGGATTGGGTGGGAAATGAAAAAATAACCTGATAAAACCAATATTTCATTGCTGAAATAAGTATAGTTAAACTGCATGTGAGCATGTGTGCATCATTTAGAGAGTTATACAAGTTATCAATGCTATAAGAATGCATGATATTTACATCATTTTCTAGAGTTCTACAAGTAATCAATGCTATAAGAATGCATGATATTTACGTCATTTCTAGAGTTCTACAAGTAATCAATGCTATAAGAATGCATGATATTTACGTCATTTCTAGAGTTCTACAAGTAATCAGTGCTATAAGAATGCATGATATTTACGTCATTTCTAGAGTTCTACAAGTAAAGAATGCATGTCATCGATTTCCAGCAGGTTTCATCTTTTTCCCCTCTTTTTTAAGATCATTTTCATGTTTTTAGTCGTTTGGAATCATCTGATAAGAAATATATTATTTCTTCTTACACAGAATGCTTTAAATTCATTACATGTGTATCCTGTATTGAGGCTGCAGGTGATTTATCATAGAGTTAATTGGTCATTGCCTGGGTAGAGGATTGGTATATTGTATAGAGGACTGGTAATATATTGTGTGATTTTATGTTTAATCCATGAAGCTTGCTCAGAGTGAATAACTCCATTTTCCTGTTCATGGTTTATCTCATATGAGTTTGTCTTGAGTTCATTGAAATTTTGAGACAGCTACATGAAGGACAAATTTTAGGACAGATGACATAAACTTTTTATTGAACGTCAGATGATACAAACTTTTTATTGAACGACAGATGACATAAACTTTTTATTGAACGTCAGATGATACAAACTTTTTATTTAAGGACAGATGATACAAACATTTTTTAAAAATCATGAAAATAACACCTAAAGGCATGTTCATCATGTATATCTAAGTAAAATGAATAAGTTTAGGCCAAATAGATTTTAATTTTTCATTCAAATGTTTGCAATAAAATAAAGTGATGAAAAGTTGAATGTACAGATTTATAAGGATGACAGCAAAAAGGTAGAATTTTTAACATCAAAGAAAGTTTATAATTTCTTCAATATTTTATTATTTTGATATTCGCATCATTTACAACCAAAATGGTTTAAAAATATGTATCAATCCATGCATCCATTATTTTGTTTGCGTCATCTGTCCTTAATTAAGATTGATTTATAAAAATAATTACACTTTGTGAATTTTATTTTTCTTCAAAAACAGTTTTAACTTTTTTCATTGACAACATTTTTATGACGTCGAGCTCTTGGAGCTCGAACGTCATCTAGCAAGCGCCCAGTTGAAATCGTGACCGGATATGTACGCGACCGAATGTGTCAGTCGATGCATCCGCAATAGAAAGTAGCAATAGCTATAAACCAATTTCTTTGAAAACGCTCAAAATGAATAATAGCTTGAAAATAAAATTGCATCAATTATATCTGCAATTAATTCTATTGCAAAACAACAATATTATGTTTTATTCTCACATAAGAAAAACGTGATGGTTGTTGCGGATGAATTTCTACAGAAAGGGTGCGTTGAATGACATGAATAACATTTCGGAACGATAACCGTGTAACATAAGCAACACAACAGGAGGTAAAATAATTACAAAAATACATAAACACGAATACTACAAGACTAAAAAGATTGAATTTCTAAATCTTAGCTTTACTTACACAATCTTCTAACCAACTCTATCCTAAAAACCGATGATATTGACCAGTATTGCTGTATTTCTCCATTTCCTCAATTTCCCAGTATACCGTATACCACGCCCGATCGTAACTCGATCGTAATTGTAACAGAACAGAGTCTTGGTTGTAGTTTAGATGCAATTACTAATACAATGCTTTGACATTGGCAATTAGAAAAAAATATTATATAAATTCATGAAATCCTTCATAGTTCTTCAACTGACTGAAAAGATGTTCGACGGTGTCTGGTCAATTCGAACCCTGCTTCATTTGGACCATGACATAAGGCCCCAGACTGTAATTGTGATATTTTGTTTAAACTATTTTTTTATTATGTTTCCTGAGTCACTCACTTGACTTATTGCTATCTTCAAATTCAAAAAGATCTTTTGAAATTGTTTTTCTTCTTCGACGTCATTGAAGCCTTTCAGGCTTTTGATTTTCTTTTACAAGTCTAATTATTAAGGGAGCATTTTTAATACAGAAATCTTTAAAAATGTACGAGTCAGAGTCAATTGTAGTCTTGACCACACATAAGCCGAATAAACATGATAAAGCTTGACTTTATCAGAGGGTGAAGTCAAGGAGACACACACAGTGTAGTTTTGAATTTTATTTTCTAATTCCTTGTATAAAGATTTTCAGTATTTGAAGAACCTTTGAGTATTTTTTATAATGCCTAATGATGCTGCATTTTTCTTTGAATATCATTTGATATCTTTTCAAAACCCCTGGTAATGTACTATACCGAGTTTTTGTCTGAGAACATCTGATCTTGAAAGTTTATCTGTGAGTAAGATACATAAGGTATGTAGCATATGACCTTAACTATGTACTAGATAAATAAACTACATATATGAGATAAATGTGAACATAGTTTGATAGGTTTAGTGCTTATAGTGTATTATCTAGTTATGTCACGATATGAATGCTTGTTTGTGATTGGCTGTTATTTACAGGTCACCATCGCCACTTACTCGGTGCCCCTCGCCCATGACATTGGAGGGGTTTACGTACAGGTAACCATGGTAACATGATGTAGTCATGTCTGTCTCTTCCTTATTCACAGAGTCCTTTACTGTCATAGAAATCCTGTCTCTCTGCTGAAAGCTAACTTCTCTTTTAAATTTTAAGAAAGATTAAATTTTTAGAATATATGAAATTTATAAACTTTCTGTTTTTTTTTAATATATATGATTTTGTTTCTTTAAATTAATTCCCTGTCAAGGCAAAGTAAAACAAACAGATTTGTTGAATCCCCCATTATCTACAGATTTGTAGAATCCCCCATTATCTACAGATTTGTTGAATCCCCCATTATATAGAGATTTGATGGAGGTTTATAAGGTTAGCATCATCAGAGGGGCAGGTTGTGGAGATAAATCTGTCTCTTCTAATTTCTCTCTCTTTTTATTTCTAGAATCCTTGACTTCTTACAGCTGATTTTATCCTTCATTTAACAACAGCTGACACTCTAACATACAAACATTAATTATTATCATATAGGATACTAACAACATTGCTGTCACTCATTCTTCACATACAAAGTTAACATATAATTATAAACTAAAGGAGCATGATACTAACAAGTGAATTCAGGAGATACAGTAAATAAGTTTGCCAACATGTTTGCCATCATCTTTTTTTTCGAAAACATTTCTTTTTACCATTAGTAGGAGCCTGGCCCTTGTAATAATCTTTAAACTCGGAGATAGAACTTTATTCTTGTGATTATACAAAATTATGTAAAATTCCCAGGAACTATTACGTAACTCAGTTCACATTATTTTACTTACAGCACTGATAACAATACATTTTTTTGTTAGATATATTTATATATATATAATCTTTTTTTTTTATTTTTCTTTCACACAGTAAAGTACATTTTGTCTTTAATTACTATCAATTTATTTTCATGATGAGAAGTTGTGTGAAAATCTGATTTACAATTATCATGATAATATGCATACATGTAAATCATCCATATCTTTAGCTCTTTTGATAACAAATAAAAAAACCCATTTTATTTACCAGGTCCCCAAGGGTAGAACTCCTATAGTAGTCAGTAGATATACTAACTTGAACTTTTTTATTGCATGTGTAGTGTGTTTTCAGGTCACCTGAGTCTTAATTCTGATCAAACTTTCTGTCATGTCATTTGTTGTGAACATTTAAATTAATTTAGGAAAAATCTTTATAATTCATCTTCTTGAGAGAGCAGACCCTCATTCAGTCAAGTCAGTATACAAGTGTCTAACCCTAGCCCTAACCCAGTATACAAGTGTCCCAGTATAGAATCTGATATAAATTAATGTAGATTTAAGTTTAAATCCAGAAATAATGCTTCAGAAACTGGATCTGACCTACATTTTATGGATGTAACCAGGTTAAGGTTTGTGGAGCAGGTCTATTCCAAAGTATCCCTTGACCCAGTAATAATATTGTAAAACCTTCCCAGACAAAACTTGGTCTAAGAATGAAAACTACCAGAACAGTTCTAGGTCAGATCCATAGAGGTGAGTTTCAGGATCTTTGATTACCTTCATTTTTACCCTGGATTTCTGTCATTCTGTGTATTTTTTCTCAATTATATATATTTTTACCTGTCTGATTTATTTATTATAAAATTTATTTTATTTTTATTTTAATGACCAGTATTTAACCTTTAGCCTTTAAGCAATTAAATGACCTTGCCAGGTGTAGGTTTAACTCCCTTATTTTTTTGTGATTATGTCTTGTTTTTACAGTGAGACAAATGGACAGTTATCTTTGCTTTTCTAGTTTTTTAACCTTAGAAAGACCCAGTATCCTTTAGTTTCTAGTTTTTCTTCAGATTGACCAATAATCACTGACCTATGATGTATAGTTTCCAATGGTCAGTGACTTTTGCTTTGTTTCAGCTCGGACGCCGGTAGTTCTGGTTTATCGGGTAGCTCTAGTATGCTGAATTTGTCACCAGACATCGGAGACATGGACCATAACTCCCACGACAGTTCTGGACATGGTGGGTTTTATCTGCTACGGAAGGATTCAGAGCGACGAATAACGCTGGTACACATCCTCACAAAGGACATGGAACAGGTAATGAACCAAGGGTTAGGGTTTGTATTACATCAAACAATGATAAATCACTGTGGTACACATCCTCACAAAGAAACTTGTAATGACCTTCGGTCATTGTTGTGTTACATAGCTAATATACAAGCAAGTTCATATTCTACTGCTTCAAGTTTGGTCAAAACAATCATCTCTGAGTCAGAAATGGGGCCCCATAAACTCTAATTTTTTTCCACAATAAATTTTATCTTCTCAGGATGTGTCTTTTTGAAGTCCTCGGTTTGTAACCCTCTGGTTTATATTCAGGATTTTTTATCTTATTTTTTTTATAGATTTGTGATACGTGGCTGAATTTTCTCCACAAAGATGCCACAATTTCTAATCCCAAGCTGTCTGTGGTGAGTACATCTGCACTCCTGGAGGACCTGGGGTGTGTTATTCTGTTAAATGTTTAAGCTAAAAAATTTAATTTAAAATTTCCCATCAAGTGAAAAATTCTCTGAGTTGATCTGAAGAAAAACTTCAGAAAAGAATAACTTTCTAATTGTTATCTTAATGCAGAGTCATCTGTTGAATTTGTCTTACAATTTCTTATAAATCAATTTCTTTCTTTTTCCAGGAACATTTACGATGGCTACTTGTTAGTTTGAAGAACTACATTTCAGATCCCAACTGTAAACACTGCATCAAAGATACATTAGGTACCATTATCATATGATCTTTTTGTAATAATTTTATTATCATAAAACATTCTAGTGCGGTCAGTTTTCTTGGTTTGAGAAAAAACTATTTGTTTGTGGAAGTGGTTTCATGGTAAAAAAAAAAAGTAGAGGTCCTATATATTTGAAATTTTAATTTTTGTGGAGGACATGATTTTGTGGGGTCTCTCCAGACCACGAAATTGATGAAAATTAAACCCAATGAAAATTAAAGCTGTTACAGAAATCGTGTTCACTGAGAGAATGCAGAAGTTAAACACTGTCACAAGAGACACAAAAAATGATTCACTCAAATAAACTGAAACCTTACCCATAAGAAACTGGGCCATTACCCATAAGACACTGGACCATTATCCATAAGACACTGAACCATTATCCATAAGACATGGGGCATTACCCATAAAACACTGGGCCACTACCCACAACATGGGACCATTACCCATAAAACACTGAGCCATTACCCATAAGACACTGTGTCATTACCCATAAGATATTAGGTCATTACCCATAAGAAATTAGGTCATTACCCATAAGACATTAGGTCATTACACATAAGACATTGAGCCATTACCCATAAGACACTGTTTTTTTCCGTTGCACACTGAGCTATGTGCTCCACTTCCTTGCTATTAAAATTTTTGTATTAATTGATTATGATTTAATTACATGTAACACTTTCAGAACAACTTCGTCAGGCAGTGGATTTTGATGCTGCAGCTCTAATGGAGATTCAGCTGGCTTTATACGTGTTCCATGAAGCTGTGAGTTCTTATTGTTTTATATTTATATATGTAATAATTTATATGTAACATGCTTGAAAAAATGACTTATTGCATAAACTAGAATACAAATGTTTATGAAATTAAAGGTTATATTTTATTAAGTCTTTCATATTAAGTACATGTACTAGGTAACTATTTATTATAATTAATAGTTTATAAAGCTGTTAAGAATTAATTATTATAAATAGTTTATAAAGCTGTTGAGAAAAATCACACTCTTGATTTAAATTTTAGGTGAGTAAACATTTAAAAAGTCACAGCATTCAACCTCACTGGATGTTTGCCCTGGATAATCTACTGAGGGGGGCTGTACAAGAGGCCATCATGATCCTCTCTCCTGGTAAGTCACCAGACGTAATCTATTGAGGGGGGGCTGTACAAGAAGCCATCATGTTCTGTATATTTTTCTATATATTCTTCAATGCCTCTGTGGGGTTTGGGGCCCATTTTGATGTTCTTGCATCAAGTTTGCTTATTGAACTGATGATATGACTTAGCTGTACTTAAACATAGTCATTCTACCTGAGTCACATTTAGGCCAGGCCATCAAATTCTTCTTGTATCATTGGCTGAAAAAACATGATCAGCCAACAACAGAATCAAGCTATGCTAAGCAGTCACATTAATTCCCAGGAACACTGAGTCTTTGAATGTGTAAATATAAGTTGGCCAACCATCACCCGATCATTGGGCGCTGAACTGCAGGTTTATTTTCACTGTCGGCCGACATTTAGTACGTAACCCCAATACCTGAATGCCGACCGACCAACAACATACTTTACAAACTGTCTGTTGATGGTTGGAGGATGATCGAGGGTTGGTCGACGGACTGTTCAATGACAATTTCAATCAAAGAAATCAGCCGCCGATGCAGAAAAAATCCTACCTGGTCCTGACAGACACAGAATTGGTCGACCGACCAAAAAAAAGAGGTAAAATGGAACAAGAAAATGCCAATGAACTGTCGACTGTCTCCCAGAGAATCTCATTTTTGTCTCAAAACCATCGGCTGTAGATCATTTTTGGAAATGTGACTGGGGTTTTACAGGTACAGCTGTACTTTATACATTACAGATACATCTGTACCTATATATTACAAGTATATGTACTTATACATATCAGGTACATCTGTACTTATACATTAAAGGTACAGCTGTACTTATACATTACAGGTACATTTGTACTTATACATTACAGGTACATCTGTACTTAAACATTACAGGTACATCTGTACTTATACTTTGCATGTTAGCTTTATAATGTTTGATAACCTATGTTTTGAAAAATCAAAATTGAAATTTGAACAAGATGTGATTTTTGTTTTACATTTTGGGAGTAATTTCTGAGCACTTTTTTTCAGATTTGGGGGCAAACATCGCTGGAGCTAAGGAGGATGAAGTAGAAACCTCAGGGGTTCCGTCCACAAACTCGGGGAAATCGGCCGCGCTGTATCGGACTTCTGCTGTCAATGAACTACAGTTACAACTGGAGACCGTGCAGGACGAAAACATGCAGTAAGTTGTCATGGAGACAGAAATTACATTTAGTTACCATGGTTACAGAAATCACATTTAGTTACCATGGTAATAGAAACTTACACGAAGATAACATGGTTATAGAAACTTACATTTAGTTACCATGGTTACAGAACTCACATTTAGTTACCATGGTTACAGTAATCACATTTAGTTAACATGATAGTTATAGAAACTTACATTTAGTTACCATGGTTATAGAAACTTACATTAAGTTACCATGGTTATAGAAACATTCATGTATATCATTCATTATGATTTAAATGATTCTGTATTGAGTATTGGAATATGAGAATTACTTGCTGTAATAGAACCATGCAGTTAGCTGCCATTGTGATAGAAACAAGAAGTTTGTTACCATGATTATACATACAGTAAATTTTAATGCTTAAAGAAATGTTCCTAACACATCCTGCGTAAACATATTTTTCATATGTATACTAAGTGCTTTTAAAAGAAAATTATGTAATTTCCTGAAATAAATTTTTTAGTAGGACTAAAAATGTTATGACAGCTGAATCAGTGTTTTGTGTTTGATAGATTACTGCAGCAACTTGTAGAAGTCAACAAAATGTATGGAGATGTACTGCGTAAAACAATCGAAGAAAAGAAAACCCATCTACAAAACATACAGTAAGTCCATATGTTGTTGTTGTTGGGGGGGGGGGGTCAATAAAATGTATGGAGATGTACTACATAAAACAATTGAGGAAAAGAAAACCCATGTATAAAACATACAATGCAAAACAGCAATATATACAGGGATCTCTACAGTCAGATGTGTGTTTTTCTTGGGGGGGGGGGGGATGGGAGTTCTCAACCACCAGCAAAATAAACCTTCGATCAGATCCTTTTGATATTGGTTTTAATTCTTGAATTTCGTTGTAGAGCTCTTTCCTCAATAAATAATGTGTCGGCTGCCACAGTCACCAGTTCTAGAGGTAAGATTTATATAACTGATTTGCTGTTAAAATGGCTTCCATATCTGCAATTTAAAATCTTTGTTACTGTTTTGTAAAACTACATGTATATATTGCAAAGTTAACAGATACATATGAAATTACCTTCCTCTTTACAATATACAATATAGCAAAATTTCAGTTTATGAAAAGCAGCTGAATTCAAACATGCACAGATCTGAATCTGAAAATTCATAAAATTATTTACATGAAAATTTCTCTACATAATTAGCTCACCTGAGCCAACGGCTCAAGTGCATTATGAACTCACCTGAACCGAAGGCTAAAGTAAGCATTTCTGATCAAAATTTGTCCATTGTCTGTTGCTGTCATCGTTGTTGTCGTCAAAATTTTCATCTTCTTTTCCAGACCCACTGGACCAGTTTCAACCAAAGTTGCCACAAAGCATCATTTGGTGAAGGGAATTTGAGTTTGCTCAAATGAAGTGTCACATCCTCTTTCATGGGGAGATAATTAAGAATTAGTGAAAATTAATTGGCATCTTTCAAAGATATTCTCAAAAACCACTGGGCCAGAAAAATTCAAACTTAGGTGAAAGCTTCATTACATGGTGATGTAGATTCAAGTTTGTTCAAAACATGACCCCCAGGGGTAGGGTGGCGCCATATTAGGCAATCAGAGTTTTACTTGGGAATATATAGGACAAAATCTTTAGAACTCTTCTCAAGAACAGCAAAACCATGATTAGTTATATTAGTATGGAAGCAAGTTTGACATTCAGATCATCAGTTAGGGTTAAGATGGGACCATTTATATACATGTATTTAAACCTTTTAGTACAGAACTGATTATTGCTTATCTCTAACCAAAGTGCTTAGGTGAGCGATTTGACCCATGGGCCTCTTGTTCTTTGTTTCCTTCAAAGGAATTCTGAGCAAATTTCTAGAGCTATTTTATGTAGATTGAAGTGATAAGGCCTAGTCCACACACCAAATTAAAGGGGTTAATGGGTTTCTATTTTTAGTTCCGTCCATCCATGAACCCCCAGATGAGGCATTAGTGAACTGGCTTCGGGACAGAAAGTTTGACGAGGATGTTATAGACTTGGTAATTGTGGCTATTGTTACCAATAGTAAACAGACTCGAAACATTTCCTTCAAATGAGAACATCTTTTTTTAATTAATAATTAAAATGCTACTGCAAGAGAAAAACAATAACAAGATTTTCTTTATTAAAGTTTTTTTTTAATTTGAATAGTTGATTAGTACAGCAAATCAGGAAATGTTTGTTTTCTCAGATGCATATAAATGCAAGTTCTTATTTTTTCTTAGTTTGTTGTTTCTATTTTATTTCTCTCATTTTCATCATTTTGTGTAGATTAGCCTCATTATTTTATGGGAATTTCTATTAAAGTGTTCCTGTCAGTTTTTTGATTGCATCACAGTTTCTCTTATAAGTCTCCCATTTTGAGTTGTTTATTTTCAGATTACTCAGGAACAGTTCCTATTGTCGGATTTTTTGGAGATCGTTCGTTATGAAGACCTTCAGAAGCTTGGACTGAGGTCAGTGTTTGATTATCATTGAAATGTACACAGCATGATAAACATTGTACAGTACAGATATTGTATAGTTAAGAACCTGATAAACATTGCAGTATTCACAGTGATAAATATTGAACCATACAAAATCTGACAAATGTTGCACTATATATAATCTGATTAATATTGCCTTTAGGAAACCAGAAAAATATTGCATTATATGAAAACTGAAAAATATTGCACTTTTTAAAACTTGAAAATTTTCCACTATACATAAACTGAAAAAAACGTATTTCACTATACAAAACCTTAAAAATATTGCACTAGCTGTAAACAAAATGATAAATATTGCATTAGACACAAACTAATACAGTAAAAAAATGGATGTAGCTAACAAACTTATAATCAATTCATGCTTACAACCAAGTGATTTTCATTCCCCTTCATTCTAAATCATATTATAAATTTGATAGATATAACCAAATACATTTATAACAATTCAAAATTATTCTTCCCTGGCAGTTTGCAATAAGCATGATAAGTGTTTTGTTTTTTTTTTTTCATTGTAGTATTTCACTTTAAATAACCTTAAAAAAATTACATTTTACACAACCTGAAACACTTTTTAAAACGTGATAGAGATTTAACTACATAAAACCTGAAAAGTATTGAATTATACGAAACTTGAAAATATTCCACTGTGCAAAACCTGAACCTTGCACTGTAAACAACCTGAAAAATATTGCACATGTCAACTAAAAATAACAGAAATATTGCACTTAACACAACCTGAAAAGTATTGCGCATGTCAACTGAAAATCCAAGAAGTATTGCACTAATCACAACCTGAAGAATATTGCGTGTCAACTAAAAATGGCCACTAAAAATCCAAGAAATATTGCACTTAACACAACCTGAAAAATATTGCACATGCCAACTAAAAATCCAAGAAATATTGCACTTAACACAACCTGAAAAGTATTGTGCATGTCAACTAAAAATCCAAGAAATATTGCACTTAACACAACTTGAAAAGTATCTGATTCACATGATTTAAACATAGTTATTTCATGTTTTACGCTGCTTTATATGTATGTATATAAATTCACAATATTTAGCTTGATCAAATTTATGCTAAAACAATTGTGATGTCACAACCGAGGATATCCTATGAGCTATATCCATTGTATGAAAGATGTGATAAAGTGATATACAAAACCTGATAAATATTGCACTCCACTTATTCAGTCTGAAAAATACAGCACTGAATAGAATCTTTAACATGCAGCATATACAAAACATGTACAGCATGTACAAAACATGTACAGCATGTACAAAACATGTACAGCATGTACAATACATGTACAGCATATACAAAACATGTACAGCATGTACAAAACATGTACGGCATGTACAAAACATGTACAGCATGTACAAAACATGTACAGCATATACAAAACATGTAAAATATTTTGCGATGAATTTTACTAGTGCACTTTTTTCTGGTTGTTTAGTTATTGCTTGATAAATGTACAGAGGTGGGGTTAGTATTTTTGTCTTGTTGTATAGTAGTTGCTTGATAACTGTACAGGGGTGGGCCGTGGGGTTGGTATTTTTGTCTTGTTGTATAGTAGTTGCTTGGTAACTGTTAACTTTGTACAGGGTGCAGATCTCTGTCTTGGTCAGGGTTACATTTATAATGTTTTTTGTGAGGTTGTATAGTAATTGTTAAATATCTACGGAGGTTGGATTCTTCGCCACTGTTAGGATTATTTTAAGTGATCTTTTCAATCAGGCTATATAATAATTGCTTGATATTTTTTTTTACAGGGGCGGGGTTCTTTGTCGGTTATGGCGAGTGATACAAAGTCACAGGAAAGACCACGGACTTGAGAAAAGACTAGCAGACAGGTAGCAGAGGTCAAAGATCACCAAATCAGGTTACTATGGTAACATTGATAAAGCCCAGCAGTCATGTGTGTGTTTTGTTTCATCAGCCTCCCATCCCAGGTTTTGTGATCTGTGATTTTATTCTGACACGGTCAGACATTCTGACACCAGTCAGACATTGCCAAAGTGGAGAGGTGAGATTGCAGCACGGGAAAGACATATAATATGACTTTATCACATGACCTCTCATGTGCACGTCATATGACCTATCATATAGCCATCATACCAGTGATTTAATATAATAGAGTATAATTGTATTCACATGAATTCCCGAGGTTATTCTGTGTTGGACGCAGTATAATAGAGTATAATTGTATTCACATGAATTCCCGAGGTTATTCTGTGTTGGACGCAGTATAATAGAGTATAATTGTATTCACATGAATTCCCGAGGTTATTCCGTGTTGGACGCAGTTTAGAAGGAGCTACACACTATCAAGTGTTTATCTGTAAAACATATTTATAATGCTTTACTTCCTATCAATATTGCCTTTGATAGATTTATGAAGTATGTGATTTCTTCAGACTATTTCTTATCTGTGATGTTGAGTGCTGTTTTAGGGTATGGAGGAGAGAGGGGCAGCTTATCCCCTGATATTAACATTTCTGTTTTTATTTCTTATTTTTGCCCTTGTTTTAAACATGATTTTTAGTTACTTATACCAAATTTTATGCCTTTTAATTTTAGATCAGAATTTATTATAATTGTTTTCATATCTGAAACCTGTTTATTTGATAGTGAATAGCTTTAAATTGCTGTTTTATATGACTTGATGTTATTGTCAGTATGACAGTATGCATTAGAAACCCTCAATCTGTTGTCATGGCTTTATTTTCATCACTACAGATCTAAATAACTGAAGATTTTAACTAACCCTGTCAGTGGCCATAAAGTAGCTTATCTAAGTAGCTTAACTGAATATGTGGTACGCAACCTTAAGCTAGTCTTGTAAGTTGCCATACAGTATGAAGTACATAATCTAAGTTGATGAATTATGATGTTATATGTCCATTAGGTGCTACACAACACATTTACTGTTTTAATGGTATGTTAGTTTTTGTTTTTTGTTGCTATGGATCAAAGCAGCATGGATATGTGTTAATTTTCTGGGGGAAATTATGCTATACATGTATTTACACAATACACCCCCTTCCCCTTGAGGCTAAAAAAGTAAATATACTTCAAAACAAAAGCATTTAACTTGGTTATTCTCTGTATACTGGAAATAAACATATAAATTGTAAGGTTTGTGAGACTTGTCAATCCTGATAATTAACCACAGGGATTTATTTCAGTGATTAATGTCTTGTTAGTTTCCTGATGATACAATTTTTTGAATGTGTTATTTTGAAAGTTTATCTCCTGGATATTGATTTTATAGCTGGTCTTTGTTTTATTGAACTTTTATGAAAATAAGAATAAAATACTGTTGTTTTCATATGAGTATGTGTTTTGTTTTTTTTTATCTTACACAATCTTACCACATTACATGGGTTGTCTGTGGCTGTATATGGCTACATTACATGAGGTTTTCTGGAATTCCCATGGGTACTAATTGTGCCCTGTTATTAGCAAACCTATTTTACAAAGCAGAATTTATTCAAAAACTTGAAACTTGTACATGAGAAGAAGAAAACACTTGCTGTGGCATTTAGGTATATGAACGACATATTATCAATTAACAATAGTTACTTCCATTCGTATGTTGACTCAATACTTTCCTGTGAACTTAAAATAAAAGATACCACAGAGTCTGACACAATTAACTGTTTCATATTTGGATATTTTACTACAAGTAACTTTTTTATCGACAACTTCCCTTACTTAATAAGTAGCAATATACCCTTATCACCTGCATGTGGGGTTTATGTCTCCCAATTGATTCAATATGCAAGAGCATTCTCTACGTACGAACAATTTCTAAAAAAGGCAAGCTGTTGGTGTGGCATTCCTCCTTAAGCATTATTGTTGTGTTTAGATTTCATGGTGATGGGAGCAAATGGGGGCAAGGAAATAGATCTACCTTAAGCATTATTGTTGTGTTTAGATTACATGGTCACCGTGATGGTAGCAAATGAGGGCAAGGAAATAGATCTACCTTAAAAGGGGGAGTTTCGGTAAGGCCGTTTTTCGACCCTCATGAAATTTTATGAAATATTGATATTTTGTAGAGAAACTCCTTATCTTCCTAAAAATATGAAAATAATTTATGTTACACATTTTCCGGTCACGCGATAATTGAAAATTTAAGTATACCCCCTTTCGCATATTTTTGGATTAGACATTTTTATAGGGGGAAAGTGGATTTTTTTAACCGTCAAAATCGTAAATGAAATAGGATAAATATGAATAAAGACATAAATTAACCAATTTCAACAATTTTTTTTTTTATAGTTTTTACGGAAAATGGTATTTATCTTATGCGAATGTTTTTTTAAGGTACGATATTTCTCTGTTAAATGTTACTTTTCTTTAAAAGAGAATTTAACTTATAAAACGTAAACATACATAGAAAGTTTTAACATCATAATTGATCGACAGTTTATACATAAACTTTATAATCAATATTTAACATTTTTCCATACGAACAATGCAAATGAAAAGATATGTAAACATGAGATAGGTAGACGTAAAAACGTCATGCATATACAGGTATATGCAATACATTTTCATCAATGAGGTTATACAACTACATGTTTTATAAAAATATACCTTAATATCATAAAATTGAAATTAAATAAAATGTTTTGAAAGAAAAAGTTTAAAATATAAATGCAACTTTAAATACATACATAAATTAAAAGTTTATTTAAAAGCATCATACTGCTACGTAAGCCGGTACATTGTAGGTGCAAGGTGAGAAAAATATTTTTTCTGGCGGCCGCCACATAATTATTCGGCGGTCGCTAGAAAAATATATCTGGCGGCTGCCAAAAGTTTTCCTGCGGCCACCACATAAATAACTGGCGGCGACCAGAAACTTATCTGGCGGCCGCCACATAAATAACTAGAAGCCGACAAATAAGTTTCTAGCGGTGTAGACATGTAATCTAATAAAACATAAATTTAAAGTTACGAGGTGAAGACCTTATGAAATGAATTTTTGTATAAAGTGTACATTTGATCTTTGCTAATAGGGCATATATGAAACTCCCAGATTTGACTACAAACAGAAGTTGTAGATGTCGTTAAAGGCAGAGATTTTAAGCACCGCCTTCAAAAATACCTGGTCTGTGTACCTCTGTCAATCAAGTGCATTAAGGTTCATCGAGTGCTACAGCTTGATTGGTAAAATCGCTACAATTTTGTATGGCGGCCGCCAGATATTTCAATGGCAGGTGCTAGAAACTTATCTGGCGGCCGCCGGATAATATTTTTTTTTACCTAGCACCTACCGACTTCAGTATATTGCAATGTATTTGATGATATGAATAATATTAATTACAGTCAAAAATATTTTATCAAGATACGTAATATGTGAATAGCCAAATGATGGAAAAATCTATAATACATTGAGTGTTTCCTTTTCATTATGAAACTTTGAAGTATTTGCCCACATAGATCTGCATTATGTTTTCAGCATAACTGAGAGAATCCCAGCCAGGACTAATTTCCTCTCGCTTCCCAACTCTCCATTGATATACTTAAGTTGCTTCACCAACTCTAGTCACTTCTCATTTAGAGAGTTTTAGAATTCATTATATATGAATTGCTAGACCAGAGCGCAGTTCTGAATACATGTGTAAACGCCAAAGATATGTGTTTAATCCTTAATCAGGCAGACATATGCGCCTAGACATCCAGACTTAAAACAATCCACGTTCCCTATATCAACCACACGGAAATATATGGGCGCTTCTCAAGCATGTTGGAGTGTGGATTTATATTGACAAGAAAGTCAAAAATATAACTATGCATGATAAATAACGTTAAGGAATGGACTTGCTTTAAAACTTATTTTTTGTTCAGTCAGTCGGAAAATGTAAGAAAGATCCAGCATCTGAACCATGTCTATAGTGTGCAATCCTAGATGCATCATCGGTGCAAGTTTCGTCACGATAGGGCTTATAGTTACGTAAGAATGAGACCCGCTTCAAAATCTTTAACCTGCTCACTCATTAAGGAAATGTAGGTCATATCCAGCATCTGAAGCAAGTCTAGTAGTGTGCATCCGTAGATGCACCATGAAGCAAGTCTGGTCAACAAGTACTTACTGCTGCTCTGCTCCAGAAACTTAAACCTGCTTTTAAAACATTTACTTGGACATTTTTTGGCTAAAAATCCAGCATCTGAAACCTGATTGGTGACAATTAAGGAAACACACTAGATCAGGTGACTCTGATGATATACTTTTAAAAAATGCTTCAAAACTTTTATCTGGAACACCGATACAAAAGCAACCCCAACTTCGAGGAGGTGAACTAAAAATATGACGTTAACGTTATACGTTGGCGACAAAAAAAGTATCGAAATGGAGATAGGATACGATAATGTTTTCTACTGTTAATATAATCGAGAGTCTTCTTTGATTTAAAAAAAAAATATGCTACTTTTGGCTTAGTATTTTAACACAGAGTCAGATCAAGAAACCAGGAGCTTCTAATTTTAGGCATGCAAATTTTATGCACTTTTAAATTTTTGGATATGAAGTGCACACGCGACACTCATCATATTTCAAGAAATTAGTGTGCAGATTATATCTAATTACTGAACAAATTTAGGTGAGTGTCCCTCATGCACTTCATATTCTAAACATCGATTTATAAATGCCACCCTCTTACATTTTCCCATAAGCCTAATGTTAACGGATCTGAGGGTACATCTATAAGTATGTATCAGCTACGGTGTGAATTCATCTCATATCAACTTTTGAAATATAAATAACAAAAGTTAACATATTTATTTTGAATTCAAAACTAGTTTTGAAAAAATAAATTGAAATTTATTTTTATGAAGAAAGTGGGCCGCTGAGCGGCCTTATCGAAACTCCCCGTTTGTTACTCAGTACTGGACTAGTTTGACGATCATCCTATTTCTCTTGCTTTTTGGCAACATAAGTCCCGTTCACATGCACACACGGGGAGCAAATCTTACATAATATGCAAATTTTGCACCTAGGTATATTTTAGCGCATGTGAACGGGGGTAAGAAAAATTTGCCAGTGTGTATTTTTTCTCCGTGCAAAATTTTCATCAGTCAGACTACATGTAGGTGCTAAATAATAACTTTTACATATGAGTACTAAATTTACCCCTGGTGTATTTTCAGTCATGTGAACGCATAACAAAAATTACACAAGGAAAGAAATATTGAAATTGCCTATAAAATGTAGCATAATCAATTTCAGTAAAAATGTATTTTTTAATTACAAAGAACAGTGACCAGTTGTTGTATTATTAAGTCAGGGTTAGGGTTACTAATACAGTAAGTCCAATTATGATTTAAGGTAACATTTCAACAAGAAATGGCAATGTTCTTCTATATGCATATAATAAATGTAGAACCATAAATGTAATAGAGTAAATGCAATACCATAAATGTAATACAATAAATGCAATACCATAAATGTAATACAGTAAATGAGTTATAATTAAGATGTTATTTAGATTAATCCGTCCTGTGCAATTAGGTACACTGTTATTTTCTTGGACACAAACCACAACAGGTGCTTGTGAAAGGACCCCGGCCCCTCCCCCGCCACAATAAATAATACCAGTATCATTCAAAGTGATTCCTACAATAAAAAGGAGTGTGTTTTAGGTTACATTTTAATCTGATGAATTGGCATAATTCCAAATATTTCATAGTTTTAACTAGTATAATTAAAGTGAATAAAAAATAAGTAAAACAACCATATAGGGGTAAAGAGATAAATTAACTCAATTTATTACATGTATTATAATCTCTTTACATGCCCCAAACAAACAGGAAAAATTAATAAATACTGGGTAATAAAATGTTGAAAATAGATAATCTAGCTGTCCTCCACTTCAAAGACAATAATAATTTGACCTTGAATAAAGTCCATGTAACCCTCCCCCATCCATGAAATAGCGAGTTTGCGGGTTTGAGCAGATTTTCCTTATTCTTCTTTCTTTCTTTCTTTTTTGCTTGTCAACTTTTAAGAGGGAAGGAAAAAGGTAATCTGTCAAAAACAGGCCTGTAGCAATTAACAATTTTATAAGAGGGGAGAGGGGGGACAACTCCCCCACCCCACCCCCACCCCCCCACACAAAAAAAACACAAAAAAACTCACAAGCAAACCCCCCCCCCCCAAAAAAAAAAGAAAACAAAAAAAAAACAAAACAAAACAAACAAAACAAAAACAAAAACAAACAAACAAACAAACAAAAACAAACCAAACAAACAAACAAATAAAAAAAAATTATTTATTGTCCAAATACTGGAATTTGCCAGTGCCTCGAACTTACAACATCAAAATGGGGGGGGGGGGCACCAGCATCTAAAGAAAATTTACTATAGCTAAATACTATACTCAGAAAAAAAAGTGCCCCCCCCCCCCCCCCGCGTTATACGGGCCTGAAAAAGAAATCTGATCATCTTGGAAATATATATTCTGCTGTCCTGCTAGAGCATGAAAATAAATAATGTGAGTCGACAAAAAATAGTAACCCGTGCCTCCCCTCCCCCCCCCCCCCCAATCAAATGGCCAACCCCTAACGGTTGTTTTAAAGTCTTGCACTAAGTGTTTAATATAAGTCAAGGGTTAAGATAAAATTAACTAACGGAAAAATCATTCAACAAGGTTTTTCCGCGACTAATTTATAGAACGTATTATTTAAATATTGTACTGGTTTTCTGCCCTTTATTCCTCTCGCTGCGATGAACAGAATGTTAGGGTACTAGTCTAAATATAATGTTTTCGTGATCGAATAAAATTCGACTGAGTTCTCTAAGTTTGTTTTCTACCATTTCCGATCGTCGAATCGACAATCCAATACTGTTTTTAAAATGTCAGAGAGGAAGGTTTTGAACGTAAGTTAACAATAACTTTCGTATTCTATAATATTCAAATATTTTGTTTTACATATAGGACATATAGTTTGATCAACATATTTTTTTGTTTATTCGTAACAGAAATACTATCCACCAGATTTTGACCCTTCGAACATTCCAAAAATGAAAACACAGAAAAACCGACCGTTTAACATCAGGATAATGGCACCAATGAACATGAGGTATGTCCTGTAGAATAAACTAAAGGATAAAGATTTCTGTAATAAATACAGTGTCTGTGTACAGAATACTGAGTAACATTTACACTAAGTAAACTTTGAGCATGTTGAGTACCCCAGGTTAGAAATTCTGTAGGACAGTTGGGCACATCATTGTACAGTAAATTTAGTTAGAATTAAGAGGCAGTCCACCGAAAAACCAGGCAATGGGTGGCACATCGCATGTCATGGATTTTAATTATTTTTTGCATGTAGACTTATTAAAGCACTTGTTTACACATGACAACATGAAAAAATTTTTTAGTGCTCCTCTAGTCCTATTTTTGGTAAATGCTTAATTTTAAGTGCAAAAAGGTCAACATAAGGGTAAAAATAATTACTAAGTTTTTATTTTGTTTTATATGTAACAGATACTCAAAAGCTGGATGTGTCGATGAATATTATTTATAGCATAGACTCTTATCTTTTATATTATTAATGAATAAGCCTCCAATTTATACTTCTTTAGAAAAAATTATATGGTCCAAATTTGAGTTAAGCAAGTAACTTTTTGAATTCAGTATCCAATTTTCATTACGTTATAAAACCCAATACATTACAAGGACAGATTTTTTTTCTTATGTTATTATGAATACGAAGTACAAACTTTTGAATCACTCAATAAAATCAGTGGGAACAGGTATATTGAAAGAAATAAAAGGAGTCAAATTTACCCTTTTTTTTTTTTTTTAATTTTCCCAAATGAAACCGATCCCGACCGGAATTATATAAAGAAAAAAATACTATAATTGTGATGTTAAATTTGGCTCTTTTGTTGTAATATGAGTAAAAATTTACTTTATTTTTTAACATGTTATATAGGTGGCAGGTGCCTTTAGTTTGATAAATTTGTTAATTTTGCATTATTTTCGATCGGATCGGGATCGGTTTTTACTGTAAATTTAGAAACATTTCCTAAATTTGGCTCTTCATTTTAATTTATCAGAAAAATATGCTTGTCTTTTATTTCTTTTCAGTCAGTTAACTGTTTTTAAATGAGTGTAACCATAGATTCAAATTTATATATTATTTAAATGACTAATGTCTTTTACGTACATGAAGATTACATGTAAAACATCTGATTGAATTTTTAATAGATACTCGGTATTTAAAAAAAGTATTTGTACATGCATTATGCAACAAATGAGAGCAGACAGCTTTCTAGCTTTATTATTTATCTTATTTCCAAGTAAAATTTATTTTTTATTTCCTCAGGAATTAAAGAGTAAATTCTATCTGTGGCGAAATTAAACTTGCCTAAATACAGGAAATATTTTTATGTGTACAGTCTCGACTTTATCCAAGTTTTTTCTTACCTGTCGTCGCCCGCGTGGCGCAGTGGTTAGAGCGTCTGCTCTAGAGTCGCGAAGTAAGGAGTTGATCCTTACGTCGCAGGTTCGAATCCCACTGTGGGACGTGGAGACAGGTCCTTCGGATGAGACCGTATAAACCGAGGTTCCTTGTCGCAGTAGGTGCTGGCACGATAAAGATCCCTCACTGCTCAATGGCCGTAAGTGCCGAGCACAGGACAAAATTTGCAGCTCTCCACCGGCAAGTGGTGGCGTCTCCATATGGGTGAAAAATTCTCGAGAGGGACGTTAAACAACAAACAAACAAACAAACAAAATCTTACCTGTCATCTGTAAAGCCTTTTCCTCTTTTACATAATTTGATTTTATATAAATAAGAAAATAAGTTCTTTCATATATAGTATCATTATTCAAGAGCCGATAAATCGCAAGCAAAAGCAGGGGGGGGGGGGGGGGTGTGTCATGACATCATTATTTTTAAAAATTGGTTTCATGAACGTGAAAACATTTTAGAATTGGCCAACATAGTCACATGTTTAAACTCCATATTAAATGTGAGTGTGTGATTGTTTCAATCGCCAAATTAAAAAAATAAATAAGTAAAATAAAAAAAAAAACCAGAAATGTTTCACTAAACCATCTTCCGTTTTAGAGCCAAATTATAGTGGGGAGTTCAGCAGTAGTTTAACTCAATACTTATATTTTTATAACTTATTTTTCAGGTTTTTTTTTCATTTTTAATCGTACTTCGGATTGTTTATTTTGATTTGACTGCATAGATAAATATATTTAAGTTTTTACAAATATCATGAAGTAAACATTTCAACTTCGTTGAATTAAGTATTGCGTAAATCTAAAACATTCATCATTGATTCCCAATTTTATAAGAAATGTTCATGATAAACACTTCATTAATTATTTTTACGCATATCCTAGTAAATCAGTTAAAAAAAAATTAGTTCTCAGACATGTATAAAATTACTTATCAAAACGTCATCTAGCTGAGACGCCGCCCGTGTATAAAATACATTTGGATATTAAAATATTATTTAACATTTAGAATAATGCACTCTGAAGAGTAATTAAACAGAAAAAGAGAATTTTTTTTTAAAATCTTTTACGCAAAGAATTTACAAACTTCTCTGGAAACTTGTAACTATTTCATTGTGACGCAATATTAGTCAGGTATATGACGTCACTGATACATCAATGGAAACGTGGATTCAACCTGAATAATAGAGCCAATTTTAATCTAAATATTACGTCTGGAGGTGAAAATGAATTATATTTTGAAAATAAATTATTTAGTTTTTTGTTTAATTATTTTCTTTAGTGTATCGATTCTAAATATTTCACCAGGATTCCGATAAAAAGGTGTTGAGCAGATTTACCGATGCCACGGGAGATAACTCTTGCATCGCAAAATTTCATAAAAACGTCCTTATATTTTGCCAGAAAACTACTATCAAAAGTGTTTTTCCCACCGATTTTATTTTTTATACAAAAATTTGAAATATTTCTAGATTTAGTTAAATGTGAATTATAGTCCTGTTAAAAATGTATTAGAAATTACAGTTCTTTGTTTCTGACCTACATTCAATGGTTTATATAGGGGCATTCAAAAACACAAAACACAAGGATATTTTACTAAATAAGCAATTATCAAACAAATCTTCAATTACATTATTCCTTTTGGGCTACATTGATATTGTTTTTAATAAAATATCAAATATTCCTCACATTCGATGTGCCGCCTATTAATACAATACTGCCTGGTTTTTCAGTGGACTGCCTCTTAAATCTAACTTTGTCGAGACAAGTCCTCGCCACAGTTAGAATATGTCCCCAGAGCTCCAGATAAGGTGCGTATTTGCAGAAATATGCATTGAATTTTTCAAAATACGCATTAAGATTTAAAACAAGGCGTACATTTACGCATTAGCAATCATAAATAAGCATTACACTACGAAAGTACAATGGATTGGATTTTAACTCATTATGTGAATTGAAGTCAGCTCAGTGTTTGAATTTTTATCAGAAGGAAATTTTGATTAAGCGTATTTGGAATAACCTAGACCGACTTCCAGTTCGAGAGAAAGATTTGAATATTAAATACTCGTACTTTGTCTGAAAATATCACAGATTTCCACTGTTCATATAACATCCAAATTTTCGTTTTTGACGCGTACAGGTGATATTGTCAAAATTGGGCAAAATTGAACATGCGTTGTGTGTAATTTATTCTTTATCACTGTTTATTAAACAGTTCTTGTATATAAACCATTTTCTGTAGCAACAATATCATCTATAGTATTTTCACTTGCTCTTGTGCTATAAATAGCACCACGCGACTTTTAATGCAAACGTGGAGTAACTCTAAAACTTTTACCTCTATACCTAGTATATATTTTTGATTAAAAAACAAACAAACGAACAGCATGGAAAACAACGGGGCTGGATATTTTGAGAGGGGCAGGTGGGGATTAGAATCCAAAGATTAATTTTATTTGGCCAAAGGTCTAGGTAACTCTTGCTACGATTGATATATGCCTAGTCTTAAATGGAGTTCAGCGTGCCCGTGGTAACTTTGCCTATCGTATGGTCTTTCTCGTGAAAAAAAAAACGACGCAGCTAGGTTAAGGACTCCCATATATACGTCAGCCTATGCAGAGGTTCGGTAAAGCTATCATGACGTCACGTTAAAACAATACAAATGAATCTCGATGAAAAAATACTATAAGTTCTTTTTAAAACACACTAAATACTTTCGTTTATCATAAATATTATAAAGATAAATGGATGTGCAACCTATCTTGCCATAATAGCACTTAGCATGTGTAGAATGAAAGCCAGCTTGATCTCGCTGTACTTACTGAGATGACGTCATTTCTTAGTTTGACACGCAATTTCTCTGTACTTGAGGCGTGGATCAAGCTTTTATCGTAGCTTATAGAAATAAAAATAAATACGAAACACGCGTAGTTAGACCAAAAGAGAGAAAAATTCTGAAATATATTAATCCACATTTTATTGTCAAACTAAATTGATAATGTGTAGACTTTATATAAAGCCGTAGGGAGCACATTTGTACAATAACGTGTTAGAATGACAGGTCAAGCCCCTCGAAAATATCAAAAGTTCAACGATATCCGCTGCACTATAAAATCTGAATTTTTAAACACATATAGCTATTATTTCTACTATTCTGAAAAGTGCTGGGAGCCGGTTGTGCATTGTTGGTTTATTCCGTAATGTAACATTTTTGACTGGAGTTTATAGAAAGAAGGCTAAATTTTAAACAATTCCCGAGCATGAGGAAGTTGCTCCCAGCACTTTTCGTGTTAAGGAATTTGTCTCAAAGAAAACAGAATAAATTTTGTAGCGTAAAAATGCCCTTATATCGTTGAACTTTTACGATCTTTGTAGAAGTACATATATGTTCTAATTTTAAAACTGTCACGTGACAAACAGCTGATGTAAGCGATGTTGCTTTGGCCGAACTCAGCAGAGACCCGATATATACAAGTGCAAACACCACAAATCACATTTATCAAAACTAATGCTGTTAAAAAAAATATTAAAATTGTATTCATTTTCCCTGAATATATTAAGGGGTATGTTTCATGGGCGTCCTTAACCTAGCTGCGGAAATGTTTCTCAGTTATAACTTAAAGCTGACAAAATTTTAAAAATTTCATTAACCTAATTGATAAATGCAGAAACTAACATTTCTTTTATATTCCTCTTTCAAAAACACTTATATCGATAACAAGCTAAAAATCTTGTTGAAAACGTAATACGGGGGTTACTCGAACATTCCCGCCTCCATTTCTGAACACTGTCCAACATTAGATGTCAAAAGAGCAATTGATTAACATAATACTCTTTGATTATTTTGCTGAAAAGCAAAATCTGCATTGATTTCAAAATCAGGGAGTAAATACACTTTGTGGTAAAAAATTATCTGGAGTTCTGCGTCCCATATACTTGCAATGTAGCAAATCTGAGCGGATCAGCTCCGAAATGATTTTGAAGAATGTAATAGATAGTTGTCAGTAGGCCCAAATTATCAAGAGTTATTTCCCGTTGGCAGCCATATTGGAGGTCGACATGCTCATATTCATTCATTATTCAACCAACATTAACTTTTTATACTGGCCATTGTGGGGTAGGAAGCATTGTTTTTCTAAAAAATATACATTTGATAAAGCCTCCTTTTTTTTCATAATTTTTATTCCATAAAGATTTTCCTCCAAATATTTCTACTACACCCTCTTAAATTTGGTAAGACAAAGAGGAAAAATTACCAGGTTGACCACCAAGATGGTGGCCAAGGGAAATAATTCAGAGAGAAAATACGTCATATGAAAACTATCTATAGGAGTAAACCTTAGAACACCATTTTCGTTAGTGGTTCTAGAATAGTTTTGTACACTCTCCTATATTTTCATGTTTATTATTTCCCAGGTTCCTATTTTGATTTGAGATTCTGCTTGGTCTTATTTCCGAGCTTATTTGTACCTTATTTCAACACCTCATGTCAATTGTAATGAAAAAACCTGGTTACCAGTTCCAATAAACAACAAAATTTTTTAACCTTTGTATAGACAAATGAAAAAAAAATAATATTAAAAAAAAATAACAACTGTAAATTCCTGCCTTGTAGAAAAATCCTAAAAACCTGAATAAAAACCACCCCCAACCTAGAGTACGGAAACGCTAGCCAAACCTAGCTGGGGGAAAAGGCCTATGGTAATTTAGAAAAACCCCTTATTTATTTAAGAATACCTTAAAACCTATCTCCTAGCTTTTAGAATTATGGCCTAATAAATTTAACAGGAGCAATAGACGACGACAATTTAGTCAAAATGACTAATATCTTAATAACATAATTTCTAAGGGTGCAACCTGTTAAATACCTAATAAACCTTTATTAAAGTGAGAGAACTTACAGCAAATTAATGCTTTCCAAGATTCCCCACGTGTCTAACAGTTATACGGGTTTATATACTCTTTGGAAACAATAGAATCTTTAACTTGAAATCTAGTGAATACACCCCAAGGGTATGAACTTTGACTGAAATTAGTAACACCCAAAAGGTTAACTTCAGTATTGATAGCCAATGAGAATTTAGATCATCAAACGTAAACATTTACCCGTAAAGATTTGAAGCAACACGTGCTATTATCTGAGAAGGTTTGTAAATATAAACATATGATATGGGGGATAAGACACTATACAAATATATGTATGAAAACATTTATAACAACATTACATTTAAAATATAAGGCATAAATGCATATAACAAAATTCATTCCAGCTACAAAGAATACAAAAGGGTTGCATTGAAAATAACTACCAAATTAATCATAACAAACCTTTTTGAGATTGTATATGTCTTTAAACCGAAAAAATAATCCATATAAAGATGAAAATTCAACTAATTAATTTTCTCAACATTTTTTCTCGTTCAAATTTACAAACCATGTTGACATTCGGAATTCTCTGGATGGATTGATCATAGTTACTAAGTAAATGCACTGAGTTCGAGTTATCACATGTGTTTATTTTGCTACATTGTCAATGCATGGAACAGATTCTATCGTTAAACCGGGCCCGTAGGACAATATCATTTTAATGATAGAACTTTCTATCTATAGTACATTGTTCTATGAGTGATGAAATAATTCACTGTCCAGCCGACCAGAAACTGTAAATTTACGATATATTTACTGGTTTTAACGAGAGACATTTATACTTAGTATAACTTTGATGTGCATGTGCAGCACAGGTCACACTTCACTGCACCTGGGCAAATGAATGCCTATACCTTTAGGGCACAGATATATAAGAATGTAATTTGAAGTCATGGTTTTAAACAGGTTGAGATCACTCGCCCAAATGGGATATAATAGCCCATTGAGGATATAATATCCCAAATAGGATATGATTGATTGATTGATTGTGTGTTGTTTTACATCCCATTCGAGAATTTTTCACTCATAGAGACGTCACCATATATCGGTGAAGGGCTTCAAATTTAGACCTTTACTCGGCACTCAGGGCCATTGAGCAGTGAGGGATCTTAATTGTGCCAAGGCCTGCCGTGACATGGGGCCTCGGTTTTTAAGGTCTCATCCGAAGGACCCGCCCAAATGGGATTTAAATTTACAGTGCAGTGGATATTATGTCCCAAATGGGCTATTATATCCCATTCAGGCGAGTGGTCCTAACCTGTTAAAGGGGCTTGGACACAGATTTGAAGTTACTGTTAATATTTTCAAGAATTTTCAGCGTAATAATTTCATAACTTTTATGTTGCTAGAGCTTTTCACACCAAAATAATATGTTTTACGGTGTGACTGTTGGGGCAAGCGCAGTTGCCCATACACAGCTTACACTTGTAACGTTGATCTGTCTCTTCAAACTTCAAACCGCATGAGACACAGTCTAGACTGTGACGACACATGACATCAGAATTTAAGGAGACAGCCGAGTGTCTGGTTGAACAAGACTACAGGTCTTGTGCCATATTTAATGAAATACATTGTAGAGTAGATGCAATTAATTTTTGTTTCTTTTAAGCTCTCTGCATAGAAAGAAAAGTAAACATATCTCTTGGTAAGGAACAATTATCCTTGGTCTTTAATTTGTATGTTTTGAAATAATTTCGCATGGTATCCAAGTAGCGAAGGAATTCTGGGAATATTGCACAAGAAAATTTGCCTGACGATTGTACAGATTTCATTCCGAATTTCGTCTGTTCTTACTCATTAGTTTATTGAGCTCTCTTTCGTGAGAGGAGCTTCGCTATTATTAAACTACGAATTTTAGGACAGGTCAGATTGACACACATCCTTGCATTTTTGCGAAGTAAGCTGTATCTTTTACAGTTAAGAAAAGTGGAAAATTTGTTGTGTGTAAATGAAAAACATTGAAACTATAATCCAGATTATTCAAAGTAGATATGTGAGAAAGCAAAATCATCTCACTTGTCAGTCTGTGCTTAGTGATGTATGCAAAGTGATTGAACACACCCGTTAAAACGTAAAAATTAACAATTATAGAGCTCCTGCCCTGTTTGCAGCCACAGGTGTTTGACGTGTCGATGTTATGAAGAACATCACTGTCATTGAACTTCAAAAATTTTATATATTAAGTTCAATTTATTTAATGGGATTACCATAAAATCCCTTTTAACTGCCCCACCCCCTATAAGTGCCCCCGTAGGCCTTTTTCAATTGTTGGGCAATAAGGGCCCCTGTGATTACAAATATCTTTGTAGATATGAAAGCCTCTAATACAAGAATCGTATCGAAAGTACGTAAAGTTTTCCTATAATGGAAAGTTTCTTACAATGACTTAATCTTGATGTATTTCTGAGAGTGAAAGTTACCTATGATTTCTTCTCCTTGTGTATTCTCTAATTTTTTTTTTTGGTGGAAAAATGTATCATTGAGCATAACTTGAGTGGATTATCTTATGCTGAAGGAAAGTTAGACAATAATTTAGTGGTTCTCTGAATTTATTTTTTTTAAAAAAGATTTCTTGAAGTTAAAATATGACATATTAAATAATATAAAGAGAATACCAAAATAACCGCCCCCTATTCACAATTTTCTAAACCCGTGGCGGTCAAAAGGGATTTTATGGTTTTTTTGAAAATAAAAATTGAAATTTTTACATGGAAACAAAACGACAATTTACCTGTGTCTAGGCCCCTTGAATACATGACCAATGTTTATTGAGTTTTACAAAAGAATGTTAAACATGCAAGTTGTTTTTGAGGAAAGGCTATAACAATAAAAAGACAAGATCATAGAAGATTCTGTTGATGACTATAGCAATTCTTCTATTAACAATTTGATATTTGTATTTCATTTGTCCTGTTACCATGGTTACAGGTGTGATAATTGTGGAGAGTACATTTATAATGTTTGTATTTCATTTGTCCTGTTACCATGGTTACAGGTGTGATAGTTGTGGAGAGTACATTTATAATATTTGTATTTCATTTGTCCTGTTACCATGGTTACAGGTGTGATAATTGTGGAGAGTTACAGGTGTGATAATTGTGGAGAGTACATTTATAATATTTGTATTTCATTTGTCCTGTTACCATGGTTACAGGTGTGATAATTGTGGAGAGTACATTTATAATATTTGTATATTATTTGTTCTGTTACCATGGTTACAGGTGTGATAATTGTGGAGAGTACATTTATAATATTTGTATTTCATTTGTCCTGTTACCATGGTTACAGGTGTGATAATTGTGGAGAGTACATTTATAATATTTGTATTTCATTTGTCCTGTTACCATGGTTACAGGTGTGATAATTGTGGAGAGTACATTTATAATATTTGTATTTCATTTGTCCTGTTACCATGGTTACAGGTGTGATAATTGTGGAGAGTACATTTATAAAGGGAAGAAGTTTAACTCGCGTAAAGAGGACGTCGAGGATGAATTCTTCCTGGGACTCCGTATCTTCAGATTTTACATCAAGTGTCCCCGCTGTGTGTCAGAAATCGCATTTAAGGTAAATATAAAATTTTACATCAAGTGTCCCCGCTGTGTGTCAGAAATCGCATTTAAGGTAAAATAAAATTTTACATCAAGTGTCCACCCTCCAAGTGTGTCAGAAATCAGAAATCAGATTTAAGGTAAATGTATAAAGTTTTACTTTGAGTGTCCCTGCTGTGTGTCAGAAATTGCATTTAAGTTCAAGATCTAGTTATTAATGAGTTTAGACTTTAGTTTTGGTGCTCAATCCATTATGATGTCATAATTGATTTAAATTTACTTTTTTGTACTATACGGCTACAACAGAATTCTGTAGAAAATGATGTATTTTTATGGAATCCAATTTGAAATCATGTCAAAAGAAACCCTCGATATGATGAACAGAATTACTTAACAGATTTACTATATTTAATGAATTATCTATAGCCCAATCTGTATATTTACATTCAAAATGTAAAGTTTTATCATTGTTATCTTGTTATTGTACACATGTTTTTTACACTGTTGTGAATATGTAGTTTAATTTCAAAACCAATCAAGTAACATGGAAATTTCTGCACTCTTGAAATCTCAAACTCTTGATTTCTCCAAGTTTTTCTATGGTCCCTTGGACTTAGAAGAATCTGGAGTCCTGTATGTCAAAAGTCTTTATGTAAATATTGTGCATTTGTGGATATCAAATAAAATTAATGATTTTTTTCTTTTTACTAATTCTTAAAAGTATTTATTAGGCTAATAAACTAAGGATTCAGTTATGTATTTTAGACTGACTTGGAGAACACGGATTACACTCTAGAGGCGGGCGCTACACGACTCTTTGAGGCAGAAAAATTAGCAAGGCAAATGGCGGAAAAAGAAATCAAAGACAAAGAAGAAGAGGAACTGAACAACCCAATGAAGGTGTGTATTACATCACAGATACTTGTGTATTACATCAAGGTGTGTGTTACATCACAGATATCTGTGTATTTCATGTATATGCCCCTCATTAACACGTGTAATATGTTCTACGGTGTGACCGTTGGGGCGAGCCCAGTTGTACCATCAAAAACCTACACAGCTTACACTTGTAACTTTGATGGATCCACCTCTTCAAACTTCAAACCACACGAGACACAGTCTAGACTGTAACGTCACATGACGTCAGAATTTACGGAGACAGCCGAACGTCTGGTTGAATGAGACTACAGGGTCTTGTGCAATCATAAATGAAATACTTTGTTGAGTAAATGAAATTATTTTTTGTTTCTTTTAAGCTCTATGCAAAGAAGTAAAAGTAAACGTATCTCTTCTTAAGGAACAATTATCCTTGGTCTTTTGTATGTTTTGTAATAATTTCGCATGGAACCCTGGTAGCGAAGGAATTCTGGGAATATTGCACCAGAAAATTTGCTTGATGTATGTACAGATTTCATTCCGAATTTCCTCTGTTCTTACACGTTAGTCTATTGAGCTCGCTTTATGAGCAGCGCTTTGTGCTGCTCTCTGCACTCGCTATTTATTATGCACCATTGTGTTATTACACTGTCTTGTAAAATACCTGATTCAGATTAAGACAAAAATGTTGGGGGAAAATACTGTTTACAGTATGTCTGCCTTGATAGGTGACTAGTATATAGCAATAGGAACAATTCCAGATAAGGGGTAGAATGATTGTAACAAGGATAAAATTTATTTGTATTGAGGTTCAGTATGCAGTGAAACTTGTCCAAGACAAATGTTGTGTATTAGAAAATCTTGCCTAATACGATGTAAACTTTGACCAGTAAATTCAATTGTTTGAAATGTTGTTTAATCTGGAATGTTGTTCATTGTGCATGTAGTTTTTAGGGTGTCATTTGAGCATTTGATACATTTGTTTTACTCAAAAAGAACAAGCATTTTTATCTAGTTAATAAGTTAATGTTAAAGTAGTATTAAGTTAATATATACGTATCACGATATTTGAGCCATCAGGGTTAGGATACAATATGTATCACGATATGTTTAATTGGTTATAAAATGTCTTTTTTTGTATTGAAATGAACAAAACATTTCTTCACAAATAAATATAATTTATTCAAAGAATATGTATATCTGTTGTAAAACAAAATTATTTTACACAAATGTTGTTAATTTCATATTTATATTTAGCATAATTTATTTTATATATTTAACCCAAAATGTTAAGTAAACAAAGAAAAACATAAGTCAGGTTTTTTTTGGTGATATTTCTTCAAACGTATCGATATGCATATCGTCCTAACACAGAATCGATATTATTGATATCTAAATATATCGTCCCAGCTCTATTAACATTCAGTGTGTTCAGATAGCACAAGGGTAACTGTTTCCTTCATTTTCCTGCATTATTTACATGTACATGTATGTGTATTTAATACAATCAATAATAAATTTTGTCAAGGTTAGCAACTCATTCACAAAAAAAAAAATGTGGAGGTCTAGATCTTAGCAAGGTGATAAAAAGATATAAATATTGAAGTCATTAGCATCCTACTCCTAATTTACATTTAACAAAAATATCCAAGATACTTAAGGAGGAGAAGGACCTTGGGCTGAAAAAATACTTGTCATTCAATTTTTTTCATATTTTGTATATTTCTAATTAAGTATGTCCCACATGTCTTAAAGCAGTTATATCATTAGGTTTCTTACCTTATTTTGGAGATATTGATTTACAACTACTATGCCCTACAGTATCTAAGTGGAGTTTTAATTCTCCATGCTTCGGGGCTCATTACTCTGTCCATAATGGAATTTTTAAAGCATATATAAAAAATATCAAAATGGACATGTATCTTTTAAAATATTTCAGAGTACAAGTAGGATTTAAAATTCGAAAAAGCAAGTTTTGTCTATCACACCGCATCTGGATAGGGAAAATTACGCAATTTTTAAGACAACTTAAACAATAAAAAACGTAATTTACAAAAAATTCTATCATTCAATATTTTTTAATTTATGTTGAAATGCAAATCCTTCAAATTATTGATTAACTGTAAAAATTTCGAATGATGAAGCTGACCTCATTATTTCACAGGACATCGTTAAAGAGGACATTTAAGCATGACAAAAACAGGTCATGTTACATTTCTCGAGTACGGGAAAAATCAACTATGACATCACAAGTAGGCTAAATAAGCGAAATAAGATATACCTACATGAGATTTCTGTCATCAGCCATGCAAAATTAATTTTTGTGTTCCCCATTTCTCAAAATATTTCATCATATACTGATTATGACCTGTATATCGGCACTATGAACCGCCCCTGAGTTCACCGAGTATGATCTTGCTGTACTAACAGATCGTGTATGAGGTCACCAACTTGTTGGACGTGCAGTTTAGGGAAACAGAGGAGTGGATCAATCTTTTTTCATAATTTGTTAATGTTTACAAGAATGTTAAAACTTTTTAATTTTTTTTATGTAAGATGGTAATTAAAGTTAAAAAATTGTCAAAAAATTAAAGAAGAACTGATGCTATACAAGTTTTGCACTTATATAAACAGAGACTATGACGTAGTTAAACAGAGTCATGTGACCATGTATCCTTCATCCCCTTAATTCAATGCTTAGTTTTTATTTTATTTGGAAAGGAAGTTTTATTTTAGTGAAACCTATTTTTTTTTAGACACCCATCATAAGTAAACTCGTCATAAGTGCTGCGTTGACTTCACAGACATCTGATCTATTTTTAGGTTCTAGAGAACAGAACAAAGGCAAGCAGGAAAGAGATTGAAGAAATCGATACACTTGAAGAATTACGGGATATGAATGCACGTCATGCTAAAGTCGATCACGAAGATATGCTGAAATTTCACGCTGAGTACGAGAAACAACTTAAAAGATTACAGGAAGAGGAGGAGGAGAAAGAAATCAGGTCAGAGGTCATGGGTCAGAGAGAGAGAGAGAGAATGAGAGAAATAATTTCAGAGGTCATGGTGATCAAATGGATAGGAAGAGAGAAATCAGGTCAGGGGTCATGGGGATCAGAGAGAGAGAGAGAGAGAGAGAGAGAGAGAGAGAGAGAGAGAGAGAGAGAGAGAGAGAGAGAGAATGAGGTCAGGGGTCATGGGGTCAAAGTGAGAAAGGGAGAAACATCAGGTAAGTGAGGGAGGAAGAGAGAGAGAGAGGGAATTGGATGCGAAAAGGGAGGTGTTTTTTTTTATTGATTTGAATTGACATGTAGACCCTTATTAACCCTTTTTTACAAAGCTGACCTTTACCCTTGTATTTCTAGGGCTGACATTTAACCTTATAATTGTATGGCTGACCTTTAACCTTATATTCCTAGGGCTGTTTTTGGTGAGTTGAATGGTCAGAGCATTAAACGACTCCATGATGAGGACAATGAGGGGCCACCAGCTAAGAAAGGACCAGTCAATGCAGTCAGAGCTACAGATATTTTAACGCTTGTAAGTAAGAGAGAAAACCCTAACACATTAGTGAAAGACCAAACTTAAAATATGAGAGAAGCAATAGTAAACGATAATGTGGGATATTTTGTTCTAGTGAAAGACCAGATCCCGTCAAAGAAAAGATACTATAGTACTGTTAATGTCTTTAATTTCACATGTCCAATATTTCATGATTTCCTATGTTGGTACATTTCACGGTGGTTTTAATTTCTTTTAACTGCATTTCTCTTTACTACATATTCATTATTTGATAGATTATTCTTTAAAAGCAAAGAAAGTTATGGCAAATAAGTTGAAAGAAGAAATAGATACAAAAACTAACTTTAAACTGACATTGTAATCATGCGCTCAGGTTTCCTGATAATTTTCAATTATTTACTATTCTACTGATAGGATTTAAAGCAGGATTTTAAAATGTATAAATAAATAGATGCTTCATTTATATGTCAATAATATTCACGATCGTTTAATTTTCATAGAAAATTATTTGATCGCAAACATAGTGAAATTAAAAACATTGCAATGTATTCCACTTTCACTCTAATAAAAGAAAACAGGAAGACAAGAGTAGAACTGTTAAAAAATCTTAAAACCCTGGCATCAAAGGATTCAAAAACTAATAGTCTTTTTATACTGTAAAATTAATTTTGTTTTTAGTATGTCCTAAAAGTTAGGTTTGGGATGTGCCCACAATAAGGGGTTAAGAGTTTTACATGGAGGTATAGATCGAATCCTCAAAAAATCATGTTATCTAAACTCCAGAACAAGGCTCTAATAAGAATATGTTGGTAAGAAAAATTTCAGATTCACTGAGAAATAAAAAACCATTACCAAAATGATAATGCTTTATGTCGTAATGAAGCTTGGGAAAGCTAGCGCTATTTTTAGTAAGTAACTATGAAAGATCAAACATAACATTTAAAACCTTTATAGGACATAAGGTCTGGTTTGCTCAAAAGAGAATTCCGACTGAGCTTAAATTTGCCAGCTATGGCTGATGGTCCAGTGTCATATGCTTTCACTGTATTTGTGCAGATTGAATTATGTGAAGCTATGAAGAGGGATTGTAGGGGTATTTGGGTTAAACATTTTACATGTAGCTACTTGTTTACCAGTAAAAATTCCCTGAAGATGTAAAAGACTATGTATTTCATTTAATTGATGTATGCATGAATTCACCAGAATGTACTGCTTTTCTAAATTTGGTCTGAAACATAAATGAGTCATTAATGTGAAGTAGTTGTTTTTATTTTGATTGATATTTATGTTTGATGTAGGATGAAGAGGGAACCAGTAAACAGAGCACCAGTAAAACAACCAAACCCGCCGTGTGGGAAAGAAGCATAGGATCAGTAGGAAGCAAGGCCTCACTAATGAAGCTGGTTAAAAGTAACAGAAAAAAGGGAAATATTGTAACAAGGAACACATCAGAGAGCAGTCAGAAGGGAGATAACTCTGCTGAATCAAAGCAGGAAAAAGGGATTGGGGAGACATCGGATTGTGGTCAGAGATTGGGAGGAGAATCAGAAGGTGAAAAAAGGGTGACAGGACACACAGAGGAAAAAAAGAATCTAAAGGATTCCACTACTTCATCAGGCTCCTCTCAGACAGGAAGTACCTCAGCACTAAGCATGCTGGGTAATTACTCAGACAGTGAGGACAGTGACACCTAGTGAGAAAAGATTGATTCATTCAGTGAAAACAGACAGGAAGTAGCTCAGCACTAGGCATGCTGGGTAATTACTCGGACAGTGACACCTAGTGAGAGGAGTGTAAATACAGTGATTTAAAAAAAACAACAGCTCTTGAATACTAATTTTTCATGATTTCAGATTGAATTCAGTGATGTCATGTCGAGTTTCTCTTTTATCAAGAGAGAACTTGAGTCTAGAACTTTGTAGCATAAATAGTTAGAGTCATTCGCTCTGCTTCTGGTAATTGTTACTAATGACCGAGAGCCAGGAACTACTTACATACAGTCATTTAAGTTGGAGGGTCGTAGTTGGATGTGTCAAGTTCTCAGGATTAATATGGTTAAGTGCAGAATCAACAACTGTGACAAGTTCAACAACCAAGTCACATGGTGTCTTTATATCTTAATCAAGCTACAGGGGTTCAACCTACACATTTATATATATACAATTAATGTATTTGTAAAGCAGTGTTTAAATATTTAACAAAATTTAACACATTTTAAATAAATAAAAAGCCAATGAAGTGTGTTTAAGATACACATTGTGACAATAAGTGGTTTTATAAAGTTTAGAAGTTCTTTTTATGTAAGAAATTGTATGTATTCCAGAGTTCTGAGAGAAATGATTTTATCATTTTTTAATTTCTTAGATTTAGTCAAGTTAAGTATGTTACATGTGCCTGTTGACAGAATAATTAACATCTTTATTTATTTCTCAATTCTATATCTCTATAGAAATAAATCAATTAAAAAAACATCCCATTATTTCATTTTTTTTAATTAATTTCATATAATTTTTTTTTCGTCAGTTTGAAAGTTTTGCGTGAGACTGAGTTTAAATTATTTAATTATTCCAGATAAACTTTAATTAGCATGATTAATAATGTAAGGCATCCAGTACACTTAATCATGTTCATATCAGAAATTAACTGGTTGCCAAGAGTAAGAAATCTAGCTAGTCCCCTATTCAGAAATGTGTGTAGTGTATTTAAAGCTTTCCTCTGCAAAAAAAATCTGATCAGTACATTTTGTCCTATTTAACTTCCTGATGTATGTTACAGATTTGTCCAAGTCTTGACAATCGCTTGATCTCTATTTTGCTGTACATTAAAAATCATTGTTTCCTTGAAATATGAGGAGGTGATATTGTGAGGAAAAGAACACATCAGTAGAAAGAGATGAAGCTTAAGATAAGCCTGATCGGACTTCCTTGTTTTATTTTGTAAACACATTGTGTAACAAGGAATACATGTATGTAGATATGTGTGTAATAGTGATGGAGAGAAATTAAACTGCAGTGATTGTGATGTAGGGTGTGTAGTAATTAGTGCCCTGTTAATGAGTCTGGCTTCAGTAGACACTGGCTTATAATTCTATAGAGTTGACCACCAGCAGGGGAACTAGTCATTGTCAGGAACAACTGTTAATGAGTCTGGCTTCAGTAGACACTGACTTATAATTCTATAGAGGTGACCACCAGCAGGGAAACTAGTCATTGCCAGGAACAGCTGCAGTATGTACTTGAGATAGTAGTTATCTACCTTTGGTCAGGGTTATGTCCCTTTGATCAACACCACAAGTTACATGTGTACATGTATGTCCCTGTACCTGTATTTTCAGATGTTGATTATCTATTGTAATCTTTAATTAAACCAGAAAAGACTGGTCCTCACAGAGTTATATCCCTTCCTTCAATCCTACAAGCTGCAGCTGCATGTAAGATGACACTTCCTTTTTTTTTTCTTTCTATTTTTGTTGTGTGTTTGAGGCTGTGTGTGTATGTGTGTGTACATGAATTATTGTCTCTGCTTAGAGATCCAGTTTTATTGAGAGCCTCTTGTCAGATTTAATTAATAAAGTGATTAATTGATTTCCCTAGAAATGGTTTTAACTTGTCGTGAGTAACCTCCCTTGAGCTTGTTGAGATAGATGGTGCTGTGAATTATTAAACAGGTGTCTACGTTGATTGATTTTTATACATTTCCTGGTCTCGTCCGTGGATATGTCCCGTACTAATGCACAAAACAATAATCAATGTAAAGTACTACTACATATAGTAGTATAGATATCCCGTACTAAATACACAAAATCATTAAACGTACGCAGTAGTACTAAGTAGTAGTAGATATGTCCCGTTCAAAATCAATAACCAAGCTTATTTATCTTTTACTTATTTAAAACAGAAACTGAACCGTATAATAATATGCAGATTCCCTCTGGTACAACGTTAAATAACCATTCAATACTTTAGGCTTTTTTTCCTGACATTTAAAAGAGAAGTTTGTTTTGGGAGAACATGGAGAGAAATATGAGAAGAACTGAATTATGAATAGATTGCAGGACAATTAGATCTATAACACAAAGGCAGCAAGAATCTAAAATACCACACACTCCACAAACCAGTGATGTTTTGATAGGTGTTAGTTTTCACATGAATTTTTTAGTGTCTTCCAATGAATTCCAACATAATTCCAATGTTCCTGGCTTAATCAATGTTTATTGTGTATTTTATTTTACATTGTCCTTGATATTTTAATGGTTTAACAGTGTCTCAGCAATTGATGGTTAGATTTAAAGACAAATTTCAGGTACACAGGTACACATAAAGCAAGGGGACTGTCCTGGTTTATTATAAACAATGCATAAAGGGTTGATGTTTCAACAGTTATTAACGAGTCTAGAATTAATATTGTCATCTATTATTTTAAATTGATTTTCCCCTTTTTTTGTTAACCTCAGGGTGGCACACAATTTATACATTGAATATGTTATTATAAATGACAGCAGCTGTGTATGTATATTTCATACCTGGGGATATTTAGAGGGAAAATAACTTTACTACTGGTAAGTTTTTTTTGGTTTTATTTGATATTATAAGTGGATTTCTTACTTGATTCTGAGATTAATGTTACATTAACTTTTATTGGTACACACCAAGGCTACACTGTGCTCAGAAGTGAGGAAAGCTTTCGCTTAACTGGCTAATTAGTCTCAAAAAGAATTAAACATTTCACTAAAAAGAATCTTTCATGTCAGCAACAGTCCATTGTACCATGGTCTTGAGATACTACTCAGAGATGAGGTGTTCAGCTGTTGAATACACATTTCTCCATTGTAAGCCTTGCTCTATTGTAGTTTAAGGACTATCTACCAGTACAGCCCCCTGATGTTTCTGTTACCTGAGTAAGTTAAATATCTCCAGTAGAATTCCCACATTGAACTTAAAAATTCTTAGCCTTCACCTTCTTCGTTTAAACCTCTCATTGACAGCGTTTTCTTTACAATCAGTTAAGCGTGGCAGTGGATTCAAAATTGATCTACGTTATTGCATGCATTTCATGTACACCCTAGCCCTGACACTGGCTACATGTCGCTTATAGCAAAGAAGGATTTCACCTTGATTATTTTTGGACTATAATAAGATTGTAAAGCTTTTTGAATGGTCAATATAAAGAGATTTGATGTTTTATTGGACACACTGTAACTGTGACTATCTCTTCTCCCACTGAGGAACTGAGGACCACATTTATCTATAGGAACCACACAGAGAACCACACTATTAGAGCCACACTTAAGGAGCCACATCAATGCCACTCTGTGTGAAGTGCGTCCTGTCTTTCTTATATTAGACTTATTTCTTCTGACATTTTCCTTTGGAGTTTTCCAGTGTTGAATGTATCTGAACCATGCCAGGGATTTAATCATTCGTGTGGGAATTAGAATTCAATGGTAATTTTTTTTTAGAAGGGGGATGTTAATTTTTTTTATAAGTATTGATAACAAAGGGAGAACAATTGCTTAGATACTTAGTATATGCATATATGGATATATGCTTAATCAAATGCCTGGTTATGTAAATAATTCTTCTACTGAATTGATATTAAAAGACAGAACCTTAAAGTTTTCATAAATTTCCTGGATTCAGTTAAATTATTCATAGATTAATGTAACGATCTATAAAACATTGAACCTATGATAATTTATACGGAGGATCAATGTGGATTGATCTGACCCGGAGGTGTATAATGTGTAATTCAGGTATGCACAGTATTAACCTGTCTCCATCTGCAGCAATGTTAACATGAGATGCTATACACTAGATGATATAATCCTACAGAAGGGGAGGGGGGTAGCAATGTCAACATATTGTGAGGGACAATACACTAGGAAATGGTCCTATAAAAGGGGGTGGGGGTGTTACTAATGTCAGTATATGGTTAGAGGCAATGTTAAATACTACATGTAGGTGATGTGATCCTATAGGAGAAAGGGGGGGGGGGGCAATGTCAACAGATGGTTAGAGTCAATATACTACATGTAGGTGATGTGGTCCTAATAAATAATATAGGAGAAGGGGTGGAGTTGGGGGTAGCAATATCAACATAATGGTTATAGTCAATGTAACACATGTCAGTGATGTGGTCCTAATAAATAATATAGGAGAAGGGGGTGGAGTTGGGGATAGCAATGTCAACATAATGGTTATAGTCAATGTACTACATGTAAGTGATGTGGTCCTGTAGGGAAATGGGAAAGGAAGGGGGGGGGTAGTTCACATTGATAAAGGGGTTGTCCCAAAATAGTTTAGATCACAACATCTATTTTTTATGATATGCCAAGCAGAGGTGAAACGACACACAGGTGACAAAGTTTCTACCAGTGAAATCCCCTATAATGACTCTATATGTATTTATCAAGCATTGTAGTTTTAATCTGGCACCCATTTAAATCCCTTTACAAAGCTAAAGCAAATGAACTGAAAATGAAAACATTGACTTATTCTCACTGGGTTGCCATTGTGTTGTCTGATTTTATTGTAAAAAACTTAGGGTCAAACATTAAACAATTTCACTTAAACTTTCCAATTAGAGAAACTCTACCCTTCATCTTGTAGTTACCCTGTATACATTATTATGATAGAATTAAACATATCTTCACCAAGTGCGGAGTCGCTTGACATCGTATTTTCTGTTCCGCGTTTTAGCAACATCCCTGCTTAAAGACTCGTTGAACATCGATAAATGTTTAATTTATACATTAATTCAAAATTTATAAATGGTTTGAATATATTTAAAAAACTCCATTAGGCATAAGATGTCTTATTAAATAAACTAACTTAATATTCCTTATATAAGAATGAATTTCACAATATTCATGATCACATATTAAATGTTTGATCATTATTTAAGTTTTCAAAATAATTACGTAATTATTATGAGGGAAGATAAAAAAATCCTAATAATAGTAATAAAACATGAAATTTGATGCAAGTTCAAAACATTTTGAGAAATGTGAAATTTTGAAATTTTGACAATCTATATGAGGTACATGTTTATGTATAAATAAGGGTTATTGTGGATTTCTGAATAAAGTAAATAGGATTTAAATCGTGTATTGTTTGTCTATTGATGCTCAATAGTTGAAGGATATCAACGTAATTAGATAATGTAGATAACAGACAAGGGAGGTCACTCCTAACAAAGGGAAGTCACTCTATACTAACCCCTTTGTATAATTGAACCTCAGTAAATTCAAGATGCCGTGCCGTTTCTCATTCCGGCGTGAAGTCTGATGTTGATCTGAAATCTGATTGTTATAAACCATTAACTCTATTGTAGAAGAATTTTGCAACAAATGAAATAATCTGTAGACTATGAGATTAGAATTAATCTGATATTTAGGGATTATACTGTAGACTAAGACAGGGTGCCTTTAACTTGACAGAAAATCTCGATCTGGTTTATAGCAGTTCTTGACATTGAGATGACGAAATAATCTGTCAACACCGCCCGCCCTGACGGTCTGTTGTCTGGTGGCCCAGGACAATACCCACCGCCCTGACGGTCTGTTGTCTGGTGGCCCAGGACAACACCCACCGGCCTGACGGTCTGTTGTCTGGTGGCCCAGGACGACACCCACCGGCCTGACGGTCTGTTGTCTGGTGGCCCAGGACAATACCCACCGCCCTGACGGTCTGTTGTCTGGTGGCCCAGGACAACACCCACCGCCCTGACGGTCTGTTGTCTGGTGGCCCAGGACAACTCCCATCGCTCTGACTGTCTGTTATTTGCTGTAAAAGTTGAGTGTTTTTACGTGTACGTATAGGAACATATACCGACATTAATGGTTCTAATAGTGCATAAGGAATATATACTGGCATTTATGAAATTCTATCTGCTGATGTTCTGTTTAAGGGGGCCGACTGGGGTTTTCATTGCGCAATATTTCGCGCAGCATTGTAAAATAAAGCGTATTTACTCTTTTAAAGCAACATATCTTTACATAATTTATAAAAATTAACAAAATTAGGAAATCTCAGGTTAAAAAATCTAATTACGTTTTTAAATAACTGATTAATTAAACGATTTTTTATATGATGGGTAGATAGACGTCAGTGTCTTTTTGACGTTATGAATAACCAAATTTCTTTAAGAGGGATCATTAATTATGTCATAAAATAAAAAGTATAAAATAGATGCTCTTGAAAATTCAAACATAGAAAATTGAGAATCTCACAATCATTTTTTATTATTTTTTATATAAATCTGTGGTATCTGTCATGTTTTGTAGTACTCCATAAAAACAGGAAAATATCATGAATTTTGACATTTTGAGATGCCCCCTCAGGAAACCAGACGGTAGAATTTTGTGTTTCTTGCATAAAATGTACAATATAGTATTACTCATCAAATAATATGATTTGAGCAAAATGTCTATAGTAGCATTTGTATATTTTGCTCTGAAGTGCGAAAAAATAGTATTTTCCTATATAATCCTATAGTAAATGTACCTGTATTTTGAGATGGTCCCTAAAAAATAAACAGACGGTAGATTTTCACTAAACTTGACATGTATACTGAAGTCAATGTAAGGTACATATGGTATAAAATTAAAGAGTTTCTCTTTAGTAGTTTTCACACAATAAAACCCCAGTCGGCTCCCTTAAAAGGAATCTTGAATCTTTTGTTCAGTATAGACTATGTAGATGGTTCAGCTTAGACTATGTAGAGTACTAGGTTCAGCTTAGACTATGTAGACGGTTCAGCTTAGACTATGTAGACGGTTCAGCTTAGACTATGTAGAGTACTAGGTTCAGCTTAGACTATGTAGACGGTTCAGCTTAGACTATGTAGACAGTTCAGCTTATACTATGTAGAGTACTAGGTTCAGCTTAGACTATGTAGACGGTTCAGCTTAGACTATGTAGACTACAGTATGTAGACAGACTTATATTCGCTGATAAGTGTGTCTTGTATACGTATAATGGTTATGATATACACAGCTCACCACGTATAATGGTTATGGTATACACAGCTCACCACGTATAATGGTTATGGTATACACAGCTCACCACGTATAATGGCTATGATATATACAGCTCACCAGACACACTGTTCTATTGTTAAGATAAGACATTGGCTTCAATTTTAAGGAGTTGGCATTATATCTGTGGCGGCTAGAGATGATTCAGAATTAATTTAATGATTTAATTACTAAGGTTCCATACTTACAACATGTACCTGCAGGGATTGCTTTTGTTGATGTGTGTGTGTTTTAACATGGAACACCTCTTTTTCTGAGAAAAAAAGAGCGTCTGCCATTATTTTGCTCCTGCCATCATCTTTATGTTCTAACTGATTTGAAATGACTGAACCATTTCAAGCCATGCTATTTTTAAAGTTTATATGTATACTATATCAAATATGTAAATGATGACTCAGTCAAACGACGGTCAATTCTAAGTAGAAACGCTTAACCTTAGCACATCTTGACCAAGTGCCTTTGTTAAAAGTTATCCACACAACCCCACACAAGCACTTGTTTCTGTAAATAAAGTTGACCCCCTATAAAATGATGATTATATTATAGGGGTAAATTTATTGCAGAAACAGGAGTCAGTGATTTAAAGCCCCTGACTAAATTTTTTTTTCTGTCCTAACCCTAACCAACTATGTAAGTCGTCAATCCGGTCTGATAGACTCAACTCAGTCTGGTTAGTTCAACTCAGTCTAGTAAACTCAGCTCAGTGTGTAAGCTCAACGTAGTCTCATAAGCTCAACTTAGTCACATAAGATTAACTTTTAAGCTAAACTCATTTTGCTTAGCTCAATTCAGTCTGATTAATTAAACCCAGTCTGGTAAGCTCAATATAACCTTGTCAGGTAAAACACTCAATGAATAACTAGAGATTTCTCTCATAAATTTGCTCTTTATTTCGTGAATCAGTAAAACGCCTTTCAATTTTAACACTCACATGCATTTAATTCATGTATGTACTCTGTGTCCGATAAGCCTCTCACACCAGTAAAAACAATACTTAGTGCGTACAGAGTCGCTGACGACGACCTTGTTCCAGTCACGTGTTACACCGCGCGCGATGTAGATGGCGCTGATAAGCGTGATCCTGTCACGTGTTACACGGCGCGCGCTGCAGATGGCGCTGATAAGAGATTCCCATCCTGTGTCCGTCACAATTAATTTACTATAATTAAATAATATTCCTGGTTAATAACTCATTCTAAATGACCGATACTAACAAACAATACAACATGTAAATTCATTTATATCTCCTCCCTTTCTCTCCCCTACCATTAGATCCGCCAACCATTCAGAAAATGTGATGTTGAAATTGTTATTGATGTTTTACTTTATTATATATTTTTAAATCTATATTCATAATATGTCACAATACAGTGTACTGACTGTATACAGTACTGTGTGCAGTGTATGCACTGCTGTAGTTGCTAGTCCTGTTCGCTGTTATTTATTTCCATCTCATTGTTACTCGGTGTTTTATTGTGAAGAATTATTTTTTGGTTGCAGTGTTCGGGTCTGAATAATTGATGTCCACCGTCAACAACAGCGGCGTTCAGTGGGTTTTGTGTATAATTAGTGCCACCAGTCAGTGACTGGGCTCTGTGTTTAATTAGTCCCCTGTTATAGACAAGGGGATGTAGTGTCTTCTGATGGAGAAGGGCGACGACACGGAGAGGTCCCTACTGAACCACAGCACCACCGCACCCTCCCGACTCTCCGGGGAAACACCGACCAACAACAATCACGTGTCCCCCTCCCCAGGAAAGAGGTATGACGCCCCCTCGGGAGACAGGGCGGATGAGTCCACCTCGGCGTGGATGGAGTTTAAGCCCGTCATTAATCAAATGGACAAGGTACTGGAGAATAAATACCGATTCCGCAATAAAAGTCACGTGGCACTTAATGTCCAGGGCAAGGTGTATAATTTTCTGGAGCGACCCACGGGCTGGAAATGCTTCATCTATCACTTTACGGTGTGAGTATTATAAAATATCATACCTTTATACAAGTATCGTAGTGAAATACAAAGCTTAGGTGAAGAACTACTTTATTCATCCATTTTCAAAGTGAGAACTAATAAATAAGATACATAATTATAATGATCGTAGATGTTAATTCACAAAATTAGGTGTAAGAAATGCAGATTAGTCTCCCTTGGTGTACTTATATATGGACTACATGTCTCACTATTTTGTACGAAAGCCCAGAAGGCTCAATTGAGATTCGAGTTTCGAAATACGAGATTCGAAATTCGAGTTTCGAGATTCAAGATCCAAACTAACCAATCAAAAGGCGGATTCAATATTTGATTACTCCCCTTTATCAAGTTTTTACTATCAAGAAATCACTGAATATATTTATAACAAATGGGTCATTTGCTTTAATAATAATGCAAGAAAAAATGTTATATGTATCAAAACGAAATAAAGATGAATTTTGGGGTAACGTTTTAAACGATATATATAAAATCTTATTTTCCTCATTAAACAAAACAATAAATACGTACATAAAATATTATATGGTCTTATCGTTGAATTGCGAAATCAGTAGGTCGATAACTTATTTAAGGAAGCTCTAAACACTGCACATGCACTTAAGAGTTCTATTTGTAGGGTAGTTTTATTGAGTTAGAGTGATCTGCCCTTAGAAGAAAAATATAAATGGGAATCTACAGTTAATGACACAATTTCTTATGAATTAAAGTATTCTTAATGTTATGTTAGGCCAAGATTAAGTAATTGAATACATTATTTCCATTAATTTTCCCGATGCGAGTAAACAACAGTGATTTCTGTTCACAGATAGTTCATTGTCTTTGAACATTTTTCCTGCAGAAATAAGGCAGGCACCCTATGTTGAAAATGAACTAGATACACTGAATATGTGCACCTTTTTATGATATATTTTTCTCAAAGCCCAAAAAGCATTTTTCATTAGTGTTTAGAGCTTCCTTAATAAGGAATATGATGAGGGAAAAATTATCATTAATATTAAATACCAAGGAACGTCTTTACACTGCACAGTAATTTAATTAACTATACATTTACATTTAAAGATACATTGGTGCAGTTAGACTGATCTACCTATTTGATAGGAAATAAAATAAATTCCAGCTTGTATTGTATATATAATTTTAGTTAATTCAAGTATTAAAAGCCTAGGACCAAGATAAGTAATTGAAAACTTAATTTTGATGTATTTCTCCTATTGGGAAACAGTGGTGTATATTCCCTTTTGCTAATGTGTAGGCTAATGTGAAGTCACAGATTTCACCAAAATCGCATCATTGCCGAATTGCAGATGGGGGGGGGGGGGTCGGGTCGGAGGACCACTTTCTGCGATCTTGGATACATTTATCATTGTCATTTTCTCCAGTGAATATAATTATAAATCATTTAAACATATTTTTATGATACAGAAATTAAAATCTTCATGACCACTCTTAATAAAATTTTAAAATCCTTACACAGTGCTTGGAAATTATGGAAACTTCTTTACTAAATAATATAAATATAATTTTTAAGATGTTTTATGTTTGACTTCCTACTATTCCAAATACCCTATATACTCGCCTATAAGTCGGTCCGCCTATAAGTCGGTTGTATATTTGAGGTTATTTTGGAGGGATTTGCCATTGACCCGCTTATAAGTCGGTACAACTTTTTGCCAGAATCAGTTGACAATTTCAAATCAATGCTGTAATGTTTTAACCTGGTTTTGATTAATATTTTTAGAAATGACGCCGATATTTAATTTTAAATCATAAGAAAAATATATAATGCACACTTAAAGATAAAAATACAATTATTAAAATATGTAAATACTCGTATTTATGTATAATCTTAGAATACATATTAAATGATGTAATATATCCAGACTAACTTCAGCGAAAAGCATTGGAAATGTTTATAAAATGCTACATTTCGTCGTCTAGAAAAATACTAATCTTTTTATGACTCGCCTATAAGTCGGACATAGAGTTTTGGACCAAATTTTAACTCCCAAAAAAACCGACTTATAGGCGAGTATATACGGTATATTCCCTAATCGTAGACTCCTGCGGCTGTAATTTTTATAGTCTGTTATCGACTTCAAGATAACATTTCAATTCTAGATTTAACCAGCTATAAAAATCAAAAGTTTTGTATACTGTAAAAATTGGATAGGCATAAAAGTGTTGATTGCTACAAATACTTTAATTGCATTTGATGAAAAAATATTCTAGTAATTGGTAAATAAATAAGATTTATGATCAACTTTCCCCCGTTTTTCAACCAAATACATGTATACATAAATATTCTTTTACATCAAGAAAATGATGTGTAGGCTACAGCCTTATTGCCTATATGGAATATACGCCATTAAGAAAGCGAACGCGATTTTTCTTTATCTCTTCTACGATGTCTTTCAAGATTGCCTGTGTACACTAAAAAGGCAAACATAAATTAAATAATTTTAAAACGAACTCCTTTAGACTATACGATTTTTTCGAAGTCCTAGAGGTGTATAGAGGGTCCATTGTTTTGTTAAAATAATTTATTTTTTATCATTATTAAAAACTTTTATATCTTTTTTTCTCTATGGCCATTACATCATGTATTGAAACTTGTGTATTGATTGGTTATGTATCTTGCGAATTCCGAGCGGTTTCCTTATAAATAATTATCGAATATATAATTATTTTGCCCATGCATTGCAAGATTGACACTGAATGTTGATAACCGAACATTTGTCTACCGTTGTAATAAAAAAAAACAACATAACCATAGGACCCTGGTCACTTGTCTCCCCCCCATCCCCCACATTCCCCTCATATTTTTTTACCGATATAATATACAATAGAAAACGTAGCAACTTTATGCTTGTGTCCTTTCAAAAATAACGTCTAATAACCGTGATACATGTAACCCCTGTTTTTTTTTGGGGGGGGGGGGTATATTACATTTTTATTATTTCCTACGGGCCTGAACAAAGAGAAATCATTATCTTTATTAAGCATGTATATTTCAGCCATCCGTCCTTAAGGGGCTGTCTCTTGGTTTCACAAACTAGGTCACTGGTCACTTTCTAATACCTTGTCACAAACTATATCCACTTTGAAACCCGTTTTGGTCACTGGTCAGTTTCTAATACCTTGTCACAAACTATATCCACTTTGAAACCCGTGTAACTTTTTATCATTGATCGCTAGTCACTTGTTGAATTGCACACTAATAATTCTTATCGACTACAATAAATCATTTAAACATATTTAACACCCCCTCCCCTTGCTCTTTGAATCCGATTAACAATATTCATTATTATGACCACAAAACTATAAACAAATTAGATAATACGATATAGATATTCTTGATATAAATCTATTATAATATCTAAGAAGTTATTATATAAATTAAAGCATACTTTTCAGACCAAAAACCCTATCTTTTTTCTAATTTCATTCTGATATATGTAACACTCTTTCTTGCATTGTAATATAATCAAATGACCTTTACAGTTTGAATATATTCAACGATTTCTTGAAGGTCAAAACTTAGCAAAGGCGAGTAATTGAAGCTTAAACCGCCTTTTGATTGGTTAGTTTGGTTCTTGAATCTCGAATCTCGAATTTCGTATCTCGTATTCCGAAACTCGAATCTCGAATGAGCCTTCTGGGCTTTCGTAATTTTGATATGATCAACTTATCAATATTTTTGATATTTTTACACAATCACTGACTTCTTTTAAGGGTACTATAAGTCTTGGCTTTGGTCGATTGATTTCATGTTTTTTTGGACTGATCCTTATTAAAGTCATTCACTGTTTTGTAATATGACGTTTTAAAACAGTAAAAAGCTTTCTTTGTTTGTTAATGCGGGAATTACTGGTTGTAACTATTTCAGCAAAAATACTTAACCACCGTATGTCTGTATAAAAATTCGTATAAGGTAAATTTAAGTATAAATAATCGTATAAGGCAAATTTAAGTATAAATAATCGTATAAGGTAAATTTAAGTACGTAAAATATTGTATTAATAATCTGTACGTCATGTATGTTTCATTGATGGACGCGCAAACTGCTCAAGTAATCTTGAATAAATATGATCGGTTCTAACTAGTTTAGCTTAATGAGTAAAGGAAGTGGTTTTCATAAGCAATAAAGAAAATAAAGAAACTATTCAGTGGATGTAAATATTGAATACTTAATCTCTTGATTGTTTGCATATTGCACATGTATGTACAAGCATTTATGTAAAGTCGATCGTTCTACAAAATACTACGAACATTGCACTCGGAAGAATAAATAAAAGCAATGACACACGATAGGTTGTCGAAAAACCATCTGTCCAATCAAATTTCAATTTACAAGAAACTGATGTTGTCTCGTAAAGTATTTAGTATAAAAGAATTTGTATGTACATGTACCCTTTAAACATGTAAATCTGATATTTTCAAAGTTATTCGTCAAAATTTCAAAAAGTCATAACTTTAATTCACTTGAATTAAAAGATCAATACATGTTTCCTGATCAAAGATCAAACAAGATTCAAACAAAACAACTTCAACAAGATTAAGGCAATGGAATAAACAGTATTTACAGTATGATATTTTAAGATGCCAAATAGGGTGTAACTTTAAACGAATTTTAGGTCACCCGAGTCACTCAGGTGACCTATTGCAATCAATTTTTGTCCGTCTTCGTCCGTCGTGTGTCGTTTGTTAATGTAGGTCGCGCTGTTGCAAACCTTTTAAAATTGCCCGAAAACATACCACGAAATTTGGATATATGAATCTCCTACGTTTGTTTTACACTCTCTGAAATTTTTAAAGAAATTAACTCAAAAACACGCCATTGTTGTCTTGACAATTTCGACCTTATTCTATTAAATTCTGTGGGGATATTAAATTCTGTGGGGATATTGAATTCTGTAGGGATATTGGATTATGTAGGGATATTGAATTAGGTAGGGATATTGGATTAGGTAGGGATATTG